CTTTGAAGAAGACTTCACAATTTGGTGCACATGATATTTTTTTGTCCTCAATAAATAATTAAATATGTATGTTGAATAGTAAAATATTTTAACAATTCAATCCAAATTACCAATGAATTTACATCATTATCGTGTTCAACATACATGCACTAAAGTAAGTACACTTAAATCTCTATAAAATTAATAAAATCAAAACTAATTCTATTAATTTAGCAAAATATTAAATTATCGAACTCGTTTTTATCAAATCGAGATCAGAAAAAAATTATTATTTGAGTGATGTTATTAATTTATTGAGGTAATTATGTAGAGTGTTTGGTGTCTATCATGTCCAAATTCTAATCCTATGATTAGTACTAAAGACTTGTAAGTAACAAATAAATTGACATCCATTACGAGGATACAATGTGGAATTATTGATAGCAACTATTGTTGACCTAAATCCTTCATTGTTTAACTTTCTCATTTTTTAAATAGTTTCAACTTTCATCCGTTTGCCATTCTCTTTCCTATTTTTGTGGAATAATTTCACTTTGCACAATATTTATATTTCATCATTTTTTTATAAAAAAGTTGAAAATGATCACACTATATTTTGAATGAATGTATTTATCAATGAAGACGTTCGAAACTAGCTTTCTGTTATGCCTCACGGTCAATAATGAATATTTCAAAATAAGTGTTGCTTAAAATTGGTTCACTAAGAAAGCTAATAAATATCATTAATCTATAGGAAATATATATCCACGAGTGGGTCCGCTTGTGGTTGTTGATCGAGCAGTAACACAACACTCTAAACTGGGGCCGAACAACAAAGAAAGGAAACTGGGCTGATACCGAAGTTAGCACTGTGACGGTCGAGAATATAGATATCAATATGTATTTTGATAAATGATTCATATATAATTAAGAAGAAATATATATAAATTTTGCGACCATAAAACCCTTATCTTCCGTAGAACTGGGGTAGGTTCCTACATATAATCCTTTCCCTCCAGATCTTAGAGTCCCCTAAAACCAGGGCGGGCATATGTCAATCATCGCTTTCGTCGTCGCTCGGCGATTACCCATGCCCTAAGAAGTAGTATTTTGCACGGTATCTATGCTTCTTCCTGGCTTTCAGCCGTAGCTGGTCATTCGAGCATTTAATACACGTGTCAGTGCGTTAAATGCGCCTATTCATGGAATAACCGTGCCTTTCGGGATCATGGCTGCACTTATCGAGCACCGCACGTTCCGCTCGGCTCTCGATGGCATACCTTCCTCTTACTATCATTGTGGAAGGGCTGGGCCTTTTAAACCGGGCGACCCGCGAATGCTCTGGGCCTCATCTCTTAATGGGCCTTAGCGTATTGGGTTACCCCGCAAATGGGCCGTGCCCAAGGGCCACTTATTGCATGGATCAAGGTTGATTCTATATATAAAAACTATGTATTTCTTTATATAAATTAGAATAAAATATGCTATATGTAAGATATAAAACTATTAATATTATAGAAATAAAAAAAAAAAAAACTCAGAAAATTTGAAAAATAATTTCACAATATTTAGTAGTTTTAAATTTTAAGCATATTCGCGATTTGGATAAAAAATAATAATAATATATTCTAAATCAAAATTTTAGAAACCGGAATGGAAAATTTATTTAAAAACCCAAAATTTTCGAATCTAAATTCATTTTCGAATTTCCAGTTATAGCATAACTGGAAACAAGAAAAATACTGTTTTTGTCCTCAAGTTTGCACCAATTTCATATTTGGTTCCCCATGTTCACAAAAAAACACATTTAGTCCCTTATGTTTCAAAAATTCAACACTTTTAGTCATTTTCGTCAATTTTTTGTTAAAACTAACGGAATCAAGCGTGTTCCCACTTCCCATCACTGCCTTAACTAACCGATTAAGGCAACGACAAAAAATGTTAAATAACTGAAACATGAGAGACCAAATTTGTTTTTTGTGAACATACGTGATCAAATGTGAAATCGATGCAAATTGAGGTGAAAACTGTAATTTCCCAAATTAGAAATTAAATTACACAACTTTTTTTTAATGTTTTTTAGTGACGCGTTTGGTTGGTAATTTCAGTTTTTTACCACCATGGTCACATCACACCACATCAACAACATTCAACAAAAGTCAAATTACTCGTCGTCTTCTTCTTCTTCTTCTTCCCCACTACTACAATTCTTTCGATCTGATTTCCTGATTTCCAGATTTCAGTAATCAATAATCTCCAAAATTCAAAATCCAAAATCTGATTTTCCATTAATTATCGTATTATATAACAAAGGTTTTGCTCAGATCAAAAAATTAAAAAAAAAAATTTGAAAAAAAAAAATCGAACAAGGATTTAATTTCCAAGGATGAGACTCGCCATGGTCGATTGCCGGAGTTTGATCCAGTTCTGCAGATCCTTCCACCCACACCTCAACAACGCCGCCAATTTCGCCAATCCAAATCCATCACCGCCGTGCCGGAGCAGGACGCGCCGCTTCACCGCCAATTCCACCAATCCATTCTCGAATCACTTCTGCGATCGCTCCCCACTCGCCGCCCTCGATCTCGTCATACTCCTCTCCGTGCTCGCCTCCGTCTCCTTTCTGATCCTCCCCTACTGCAAATTCCTCTTCCTCGAGCTCCTCCCGATCGCCCATGGCTTCGTCGTCGACCTCATCCTCGACGAGCCGCTGCCTTACATCGTCGGCTTCGTCCTCGTTCTGATCGGAATGATTCTCGCCATGGTCATTGACATCAGGCTGAGGAAATGCGGGAATCCTCACTGCAAGGGTTTGAGAAGGGCGATCGAGTACGATATCCAGTTGGAGTCCGAGGAGTGTGTCAAGTACGCGCCGTCGCTTTCGGATGTCTTTCAAGACGAGAATGGGGCGGCGGAGCTGGAATTAGGGCAGGATCGGAAGGAATTGGAGGCTGAATTGAAGAAAATGGCTCCCCTCAACGGAAGGACTGTGCTGATTTTCCGAGCTCCATGTGGATGCCCTGCAGGTAGATTGGAGGTTTGGGGACATAAGAAAATTCGTAGAATCAAGAAATAATTTTTTAGATCTTTTTTTCTCTTTTACATAGATAAACTTTTTTCTTCAGTAGCAAATATATACCTGAGCCATGTTTGAGACTAGTTTCGTCTGACTATATACAATAAGTGGTGTTTTTTAACTGAGTTTTTTTAGTAATAAAACGGTTTTTGTGTTCTTATGTTCATGGAGCATTGCATGTTTTGTGATTAGTGAGGATAGTTGTCTTTGTTGTGCAGTGAAATTATGAATTCAGTTGCCGTTTTATTTGCAAAGTCGTCGTGAACTCAATTATATTTGCTATATGCTTCCGTTAATCATTCATCTGATTGAAGAAAACGTAGATGTGAACAATGTACACTTCATCAAAGCCTTCTGCATATGCATGTTTTGATGATTGAATCGTTGATATAGCTCGTGTTTACTTTTCTTTTAGCGTATGAATTGTTCGGCGAAGCAACTAGTAATAATTGCAAGTATTCTTGGCTTATTATCTCTTATAGAACGATTTATGAGCAAGAATGCAGCTAGGTCCTTCAGAAATTGATATGTTTTTCATTTAGAATTAGTCCTCGAGTTTTTTCTAAAGAAGGCCAGTAATTTTGAACTGACATACAGCAAAACTATTGTGCATATGTTTATGTATTTTATGCCACGTAGACTAGATTCAGAAGGTATGACTTCATAACTCATTCGATTATGGTGGAAGAAATTTCTTGCTGCTTTCCGAGTAATTAAACATTCGACTATTGTGGAAGATAAATAGTTATCTCTTGAGTTTCATGTAATTAAGCTTGAGAAATTTCCCATCCGTTTCTTAGTTGAACTGCTGTATGAATCGATTCACTTCAGTACTTCACCATGCATAGGATGTAGTTGGTTTTGGTGTAACTTCCGTCTGGAAATTTGCAAACGCAGTCTTGTAGTTATTCGTCGGTTGTCGGAATTACGATAATCAAGTCTTTTCTTGAAGCTTACTTTTTGATGGTCGATATAAAAATAGCTTGTCGAGATCAAGACATTCTGGAAATCTGACGTTAGCTCTATACATGCATCATGTTTGTTCGCGTGTGTAAAATACGGTTAACTTTTTGTGTCATTTGTTTTTTCTTTCTATGTCGTATAAAATTTATTTGCGCGGTGCTCTATGTTTGAGCTCTGATAGAGGGTTTCATGTTTGAACTGGCTTTGCACGTTTGAAGGGTCGTTTGTGGCTCTGCATCTGAATTATCATTCTCGATCTGTTTCCGTTATTTAAATGAAATAATTTAGTGCAGTGCATAATATGCAGTCGGAGAAACATTACTGCATACGGTGGTTCTTGTCCGATTAGAGTGTAGAGTTGAAACTTTGAAGTATTATATCATTTGCGCTCTTTTATCGGTTCCCTGCACTTGCAAATCCAATATCTTCGGAGTTTGTGTTGTCTTGTTGAGTATGGTTTTTACACAATAAAGTACGAATTCATGTCGATGCGAGTTCTAAATTAACATCAATATGTACCTTGAACACACACACACACACACACACATGTATTGAGAAATTCAAATTTTGTTACAAATTAGGGAAATTGGGGAGGGGCAGGATTCGGACCTAGACCTCTAATCTAATAATAGAGGCTAAGTATCAACTCCCGAGTTGATTAATTTTCTATATAATATAACAATGATTCTATGGCGTAGTTTAACTTTTTTCCGGTCTTTGTTTTTTTCTATCTTAAAAATAATATATACATATATTGCCCTAATTTTAAATAGGGTAAATAGCACTAACAAGCATAATTATTTAGCAAGTGAAATATTAATAGGGGGTTTATGTGCTTATTTTAAAAGTAAAAGGGTGTCATGTACACAAAGTTCAAACTACAGGAGTTCATGTGCTTATATTGAAAGTATGAGGGGATCATTTACACAAAACTCAAGCCACGAAGGGGTTAAGCGCTATTTACCCTTCTAAACATCAATAATTCAAGCATATTTCAAGGAGTTAATTGCAATTTGCCTTAAATTTATTTATCGGCAATTTATACATAATGTGATGAATAGTAGTAGACTAGTACAAGTAAATGAAAACACAAGCTATAAGATAAATAATTTCAAAAAAAATACAATCTAATTTGGTGCAGTAAAAGTCAATAAATCCGGTCACTGAAAAGTTGACCAAGAATTTTCTGGAATTTGAAAAATACCAAATATACATTACTGACTAATTAGAGAAAGGAAAAAAAATTGTTTTTAAATAGACCCTCTCCATCAACACGGCGTCGTCTTTTGCACCTCCGCACTCTCACTGCAACCCGAATCCCCACTCATCGGCAGCTCCAATTGCACCGCCACAATTGTTCGCTCCACCTCCGATTAACACATCACATTATCGGAGATCGAATTGGAATTTCTGATTTATAATTTGATTTTTTTTGGAAGATGAAATTTTTTGGATTGCTCGACCTTTTATTGTTCGGTTGCTTCATTCTATTGATACATGGCATCACTGAATCGGCGGCTTCTTCTCCCCTCAAAGACCCACTCCTCGGAGTTTCTCCTGAAGGTGCGTTCTTGTGATCGTATTTCTACAATGTTCCTGTGTGTGTGTGTGTGTGTGTGTGTGATTGATTTAAATTTGTTGTTTACGTATAATATTGAATTTAGAAATGGAAATTTAAAAATAAGTGGATGTGGTGCAGATGAGAATTATTTCAAGGGATTTTCTACATCGAGCATGATCAAGTGTAAAGATGGATCAAAGAAATTCAACAAGTCCCAGCTAAACGACGATTTCTGTGACTGCAGTGATGGCTCTGATGAGCCCGGTACTCCTTTTCACTCGTTTGTACTTCAATTATTTAATCGTCTTAATAATAGCAAAGTTGAATTCTTTGCCACTATGCGAAACCCAGTATTCGATCGATTGATTGCATTATTTTAAGTTGTATTATAGATTGAATATTAGCTTGTTTGATGAATAAGGTAATGGGCTGGGTTTTGCAGGAACATCAGCTTGTCCGAACGGGAAATTCTACTGCAAGAATGCTGGACACTCTCCACTTATCTTGTATTCTTCTAGGGTCAATGATGGGATCTGCGGTAATCACACTTTTACTTCTCGTACTTATAGATTTTAACTTACGAGAACCATTGTAGTGTGAGGTTTACAAACTTTTGGTCAATAACGAAAGATTGCGAGAATATTAGACTTGGGTTAATTTGATGGAAATCTGTATCTTGACCGTTGAATGATACATTGCTTGATATCAGAATTCGCTTTATACCAGAGTTACATGTACACACTGTAAACGAAGTAGAACAGATATAACTCGATCCAGAGTTGATGTCTATTTAGTAATTTGACCAGTCCATTTTGGAGTTTAGTTGTATGAATAACTTAGTTGATTTCCTTGAAAGGTGTTTTATATATATTTAATAATAAATAGGACTTTGATACTATTTGTTTTTAAATATCAGTATAATAAATTAATCGAAAGATAATCCAACTTTGTAATAGAATTTTTTTACATTCAATTGTCGAAAGATTGTATTATTCATCAGATTATATTTTTCTCTCTGTCATTTTCTAGTTTGTTATCCCATCGTTGTTTAAAATTAAGCATTTATTAGTTTGTGAATGATGGCATGTATTCAAGTGAGGTATACTCATACCCTAATTCCCTAGCCAGTCTCTACTTAAATTTTGCTCGACCATCTTCATTTGTATTCTTATTGAAGTGCATTATAAGTTTCTTTTCTTTTCTCTTTTTGGGGGGTGGGTGGGGGTCAATACTTGGCCAAATTTTGAACACACTTTCCCAAATCATATCATGTTTCAACTTGTTTTCTACCCTTTAAAACAGCAGAATATCTGGATTTTCTATTCTGGTGTTATTTCAGTGTCTTTTTTTGTCGCACCTCGTTACCCTTAGGACTTAAAGTTGAACTTTCACAACTGGGGCAGATTGCTGTGATGGGAGTGATGAGTATGATGGTAAAACTAAGTGCCTGAATACGTGCTGGGAGGCTGGAAAAACAGCAAGAGACAAATTGAAGAAAAAAATTGCCACATATGTGGAAGGTGTCACTTTACGCAGGCAGGAAATCGAGAAAGCAAAATTGGCCATAGCCAAGGAGGAAGGAGAGTTGTCGAAGCTAAAGGATGAGGAGAAAATCCTCAAGCCATTGGTTGAAAAGCTCAAGGGTACGTTTCTTTTCTTTCCTTTTATTGTAATTATAATCAAACAGACTTTCTGGAAAGGATTAAGTTATGCATGTCATTTTCATTTCATTTGTGAATATATTTGTGCAAAAGAATTTAAATTCTCTATCTAACGTGGCAATAGGAGCCCCCGTTGCAATATAATAAATTCTAAAATACAATTCTATTACTGGTTTTTCGTTCTATTTATTGGAAACTTTGATACCCTTGTTGAAGCTTAGTTCTCGGGGATTTATGCTACCAGTTACTTATCAAACTATCTGTTTCTTTTTGCCCTATCTTCATAAAGAGCGCAAGGAACAGATAGAGAAGGTTGAGGAAGAAGAAAGGTTGCGGATAGAAAAAGAAGAGAACAAAAAAAAGGAAGCTGAAGAAGCTGAAAAGAAGGAAACCAAAGCTGAAGATATTGAACATGCGCATGATGATATCCAAGATAATATTGGGACAGTAGATCAACCTCCACAGGTATAACTAAGTTGAGCTTGCATTTCATTTGATGGTTTTAAATTCTAAATTGAGCTTCTTTTTTTTTTCTCTTTCGGAAACGACTATTTTAAACTTCAGATGTCTTGAATACGACGTTCATTTCTTGTTGTGAGACAAAAATAGTTAGACTCAGATTTAAATTGATTGCAGCTCTCTCAATAAGTTTTAGCTTTTAGGTGATATGTTTTGTGTATGCGCTCATCTTAGTTTTACTTGAACTCCTTGAAGGAAGTTGAATGTAAGTTTGAGTACATGCTTATGTTCAAATAGAAAACATTACTACCTGTAAATACCCCTTCACCTACGAAAATACACTAACTTATTCTAAGGAAAATGATATCGTATGACTATCGTGTAGCCCTCCCTTGTTTAGTTGATTATTTCCCATCAAATTTTAGTTGAATATTATATTTTATCCTATTCCTTATAATGGAAGAATTTAGTTTGTGGAACGAAACATGAATATTTAGACCTTCGTTTTATTCGCTTAATTGAAATCAATGTCTGGCATCGATGAATGATGTTGGATGTGATTATCTTTGCACCTATTTGTTTCTTAAATTTTAACCACCAAATATGATGATTATTAGAATTATGAGGAAGAATATCGCAAAGCTGTCAACGATCATTCCATTAAGGATAGACTTCCAAATACTGAAGCAGAAGGTTCTATTGAAGGCTCTCTCCAGGTTCAATCTTCTTCTATGGGAAATATCATTCTTCAAGATTTTGTTTTCTTAATCGTGCATTTTGATAATTTACGTCTATTTTATTAGGCCGATGAACAACTAGAGGAAGGATCCACTTTTAGTGACAGTACTGGTCTTCATACTGAAAATCAGGTAAATGTTTGGTGAATGCTACCAAAGTTTGGTATGGAATCTTTCACCCTGTTTCTAGTAATGATCCACTTTCTAGAAATCGGACAGGTCGCATCGGAATTTGCACCTCCGGAAAAATTCCAATTTTTTTCAGAAGTGAAAAACGAATTCCAAAAAAAAAGGAAAACCGAATTTTTGGAAATTGAAATGAAATAACCCGTTTCAATTTTAGATAATAATTCAAAAAATTTAAAATATAAAATGCATACGTCTAATTTTTTCGGACAAAAATTGAATTTTTTGAATTATTATCTAAAATTGAAACGGGAATCTCATATATATATATATATATATATATATATATATATATATATATATATATATATATATATATATATATATATATATATATATATATTCCAACACCGATACAAAAAAAATTGGAATCTGAATTTCGGATTAAAACGAAAATCGTTCCAAAATCGGAAACTTTCGGACCGGAAATTCCGTTTCAATTTCCACCTCTAACCATGGTTCTTATAGTAATTTCAGTCGCTTAGTCTAAATTACTGATTCTCAGATCCAAATATCCGAATAACTTGGAATCCTTATCCAACCTATATATGAAGCAACATTCGCAACTCTTGTTTGTGTTCACAGGATGAAAATATAGGTGAAGATACCGAGTCGTTATCAAGGGAAGAGTTAGGTCGCCGCATCGCATCACGGTGGACAGGTGAAAAGACCGATCAACACGAGGAGGTTGATGCTTCTTCTCCAGACAAGGATCATCAAAATACCGACGAGCTGTCAAATGAGACCAATTATGATGAAGAAGACAATGCCTATACATCAGAGGAAGATGAACATAAGTTTGACGACGATGATGATGATGACAGCAAAGACCAGGTCGATGATTTTGGAACTGATGACCATTACAATCCAACTCCGTCGCAAAAACTCGACTCTGATGATGAATCAGACTTTTCTGGTAAACTTTTTTTTTCCTGTTTTTTTTTTGGTAAACTAGTTCTTTGTCAGAATCCCTTTTATATGGTCTAAATTGGTCAGATATAAGTGGCACAAGTGGCTCGTCTTGGCTGGAGAAGATACAGAAGACGGTGAAGACCATGCTTGACGCTGTCAAATTATTCCAGACGCCTGTTAATATATCTGGTACTGGAGGGTCTTGTCGTAATTTTTCCGCATTTAATGGACGTAAATCAAATGTCGTAATATGTTTTCCTGTTTTAACTTTGCAGACGCTGCACATGTCCGCAAAGAGTATGATGAATCCAGTGCTAAGTTATCCAAAATACAGTCGAGGATATCTAGTCTGACGAAGAAACTAAATCAAGATCTTGGTATATCAAAGACAGACACAAAACACAACCTTTATTTATATTATTTATACATATTGCAATTTTTATAAGTTATCAATATCTCCATTTTTATACTGCAGGTCCCGAAAAGGAATTCTATTCATTTTATGGTCAATGTTTCGAGACCAAACAGAATAAGTAGGAAAAAAAATTCTTAGTTATTCTTCATCACATTTTCGGTATCAAATGTTTAAAACATCTCTTAATTATGGGATACAATTTCTTGTTCAGATATGTTTACAAAGTCTGCCCTTTCAAGCAAGCTACACAAGTGGAGGGTTACAGTACAACTCGTTTAGGGTAAGCCCTTTTTAGCACATGCTAGTTCACTCTAAGTTTTTATTAACAGTCAATATAATCTTGACGGTCCTTACGCAATCCCCTTGCTGAACCTTCTAGAAGATTTTTATTTTTTTCCGAAATTCTCATCAACATGATCAATCAATTTGTGTAGGAGCTGGGAGAAATTTGAGGACTCTTACAGAGTAATGCAGTTTTTAAATGGTGATAAGTGTTGGAACGGCCCAGATAGAAGCATGAAGGTAGACAGACTACTTATATATGACCGTGACATCTTATTTCACTATTAATATGTTCTGAGCGATTCACCACGGCATTTACTATCACTAGACGAAAAGGAAATACTTAAATTAACTCGTTACAAATTGAACGGCAGATTTGCAACAACACGTGTTTGTCGAAGCACCTGAATTTTTTTTCTTGAAGTAGGATAAACGGCATTTATAAGCGTGTTTTTAATTTTTTAATTTTCCGTCCAAACTTTTTATGTGATATTTCTGCAACTAACCATTTTTTGGGATTTCATCTTGATTTGAACAGGTCAAATTAAGGTGCGGCTTGAAAAACGAACTTACGGATGTTGACGAACCAAGCCGTTGCGAGTAAGACCTCTCTCTCTCTCTCTATGTATATATATATATATATATATATATATATATATATAGATATAATGTTTTTTTTTTGTGTGTGATTTCAGGTACATGGCTTTGTTGGCTACCCCTGCACTGTGTGTTGACAGTAGACTTAAGGTTGTTTTATAAGCTTGCTCCTTTTGTCGACACTTTCAATCAATACTACTATACAATTTTGTACATCACCAAATTCTGATTGTTCTTTGTTATTCGATGGAATTTTTTTTATAGGAGCTGCAAGACAAGTTGGACTCGTTGAACAAGCAACTACCGCAGTTACACGACGAGCTATGAGCACACTTTTTTTGATAGGTTAACTGAGAGCGCATGCTTTCTACTAAGGTTATATTTTTCTCCCTGTCTGAACTGTCTTCTTTATCTCGGCGAACTTGCCGATTCTTTGAGTTGCTTCAGCTTAGTTATCCAAGAAATTGTACACACTAAATTATGGACTTCTTTTTTTTTTTTTTTAGAATTAGAACCCTACTGCTTTGTGAGTTAGCTTCTTCTCTCTCTTTCTCTCACACAATAAATTGAATTTCTAAACTTCGTCTACTCTAATTTTTTTTTTTTTGGGAAAATTGCAGCTTTCATCCCTCAAGTTTGCACTGATTTCACATTTGGTCCTCCACGTTCACAGCTTAAACACATTTAGTCTCTCATGTTTTAATAATTTAGCACTTTTGGTCGTTTTCGTCAATTTATCGCTACTCTGTCAATTAATGCAATTAATTCAGTGATGAGCACACTCTCGATTCCATCATTACCAACGGAAAATTGACGGAAATGATTACAGGTGTTGAACTTTTGAAACATGATGGACCAAATGTGTTTTGTGTAAACATGGAGGACTAAATGTGAAATCGGTGCAAACTTGAGGGACCAATGCTGTATTTTTTTATTTTATTTTTATAATAAAAAATCCTTTTCTTAACAAGTTTTGCCTGAATAAGCAGCCATAAGGTTCCTCTTCATATGTCGGTTTGACTAAATATGTTTGACATAGATATTTATTACAATTGGTAGGAAAATAATTTTTATTTTCAATGAGTCTTTTTTACTTTATTTGAAAAATGAGTACCTACCAAAAATCTAAAGCGATGACGTTTCTAAAATTAGTAACACCCTCTGGGTGTTAAATATTGCACCTAGAAAATGAAGTAGGTATAAATTAAATTAAATCCCACTACAAAATGGACCACGATATGAATAGGTCCAAAGATGTCCACATCAATAGTTAACTTAGTTTTCAATGTTAATTATAAATAATTTACAACACACAATCAATACAATAAAAGTAATTTTTAATACCAAATAATCATATAATTTTAAATACTACACACAAGAATTGATGATAGTAAATTTATAAAAATAAATATTTTGTAATAAATATGGTAGTAAACTTATAAAATCAACACTGCGACATTTTAACAAAATATGGCAGTTTAATATATGAATATCGATAGCGAACTTCTCAAAAATTGATTGAAAGTTACTAGTGAACTTTTAAAAATTAGCTGACTGATAACAAACTTGTTAAATCACTTAAAATTGACAATGACTTCATATAATTTGATGGTGAAACTTTTGCAAATTTATAATTGTTGTTTTTATTTTATTATATATATATATATATATATATATATATATATATATATATATATATATAAAATAAAATAATACACAAGTTCTAGACATTCCCCTAATAAAAAAAGTATATACTAACTTTGAATTCCCATTAGTCAATTGTCTTTTTGAGTTGGCGAAAAGCTCACCGGTTGTTTCCTACGTGTATTCTTTTATTTTTCTACATTAATAATTAATTAAATTAATTTCAAATAAACAAAAATAAAGTGCGAATGTGTATTACAGCGCACACACACATCTAAAAAGTAAAAAAAATAGTTATTTATTAATAGTTAAGTAGGTGAAATTAGAGTCATCTCTAAGTTAATTACGAAAAAAATTCTTCTCGTTTGTGTAATCACACCACCTCTCATTATGTCTTTTCTTGCGAAAAATCGCCTCAGTTAGTTAGTAGGTAAATTTGTCCCTGTAAATATAGATCTATAAGACAATAATACATAGTTGATGGATGATTGTAGTTATACAAACAGAATTCGTAAATTACCCTAATAATTAATAAGTTAATATAAAAAATAAAACAAGAGAAAGATAGTGGGGTATGAGATATTTATTTGTGGGGCATATACTATTAGATAATTACAAGCTTGCCCCCCAAGTCAATTATTCACAAGTAACCGTCTACCGATATTTAATTTTTATTTGGAAAACAAGATCTATAGGTTTAAGTGTGATTATTTTTGACAATTAGATTTGAATTATTCCTCAAGAAATCCCATATAATAATAATAATAATAATAATAATAATAATAATAATTAATAAAAAAAAAAGCCAAAAAGTATTTATTCTAGTGCCGTGAGCCTCTATTTGTTGTTCCCACTTGCAATTTCACACAAACCGAAAGACGCACACAGAGAGAGATAGAGAGAGAGAAGCGAGAGAGAGATGGCGAAAGAGACGAACAACAACAACGGCGACGCCGGCGAGGTTTTGGTCGGTGATAAGCGGCCCAAGACGAAGATCGTATGCACCCTCGGCCCCGCATCTCGCTCCGTCGCCATGGCGGAGAAGCTCCTCCGTGCGGGGATGAGCGTCGCCAGATTCAATTTCTCACACGGATCGCACGACTACCACCAGGAAACCCTAGACAATCTCCGCCAGGCCATGGACAACACCGGCATACTCTGCGCCGTCATGCTCGACACCAAGGTACTTTCTCTCTCTACTTTTTTTTTTTTTTACCGACTTGACCTTAATTTTTTTGTCCTTTTATTGTCTCCACTTTTTGGGAATGATTTTCGACTTTGCCAATTTCATCGATCTATTGATCTGTCAATTTCGTTAATTAGGGTTCGTTCTTCTTCAGTATAGATTTGAATTTGATAGATGTAACTGAGCACTGAAAGTCAAACGGATGAAAATTGAATTTTCGTAAACGTCTTTCAGATCTAGTTATATGTATTTGTATAGTATTGCCAATTGCGATCCACATGGAGACTTTTGGATTTGCGATTAATTTCTGTAACTGCTCATGATTCTGTTTCCTCCATGATTAATAACTGCCCCTATTGTTTGTGATTCGAATAATTTCAGTAAACAGTAGCCCTCTTTACATGTTCTTTACCATCAATATTCAGTTATACAAATCACTGAGCAATTCATATATCAACAGGGTCCTGAAATTCGAACTGGATTCTTGAAAGATGCGAAGCCTGTCCAATTGAGACAGGGACAGGAGATCACAATATCAACCGACTACGAGCTCAAGGGTGATGAGAAAACAATCTGCATGAGCTACAAAAAGCTGGCAGAGGATGTAAAGCCTGGAAGCGTGATACTCTGTGCTGACGGCACGATCTCCTTCACTGTCTTGTCTTGTGACACTAAACAAGGCTTGGTGCAATGCCGTTGTGAGAACACTGCGGTTCTTGGTGAGAGGAAGAATGTCAATCTCCCTGGGGTTGTTGTGGACCTCCCGACTTTGACCGAAAAGGACAAAGAGGATATCTTAAACTGGGGAGTGCCTAATCAAATTGACATGATTGCACTTTCTTTTGTCCGAAAGGGTTCGGACTTGGTGGAGGTCAGGAAGTTGCTTGGTGAACACGCAAAAACCATCCTTCTTATGTCTAAGGTCAGTTACCCTTTACTAATGAAACGTGGTTTTATCCTGTGAGTTATAGTGGGGATTTCATATTGTAGTTGATAGCCTGCGCTGTTATTATCTCCCCTGTTACAGTTTATTTTTGTGTTCCAAAGACAGAAGCTGGGGTGAACTGGAAACACAGTATTATTTTTGGTCCTAATCTTTAGGGGGTAATGTACTAATACCACTATTGCAATCAAGAAACCTGTCTTTTTTGTGGATTTCTGCTATTATTTGTCTTTTATCTTTTTGATCATGTCCAAGTTTGTTATTGTGTATGATTTGTAGTTAATGAGTTTCGTATGGCTTGCTAGATTGAAGATATATGGGACGTTTGCTAGATTTCTTTTCCTAGTTAACTGTTGTAGGATGAAATTGCTTTGAGGTTTATATAACTCAGGTGAAGAAATTTGTTTTATGTGTTTAAGCATTGAATGTAATACATGAAAGGGGATAATTCTAATCTCTGTGCTAATGTTCTTGTTGATTGTGGGTTTCGTCTTTCCTCTTGAGTCTTTCAAGATTGGTAAAAAATAAGGGATGTTCATTTGCATGTTCTTTTGGGTGTCACTTGATTATTATTCTTATATTATTCTTTCCTTTTTACTTTCTCCCTATTAGGTTGAAAATCAAGAAGGGGTGGCGAATTTCGACGAAATCCTGGCCAACTCAGACGCCTTCATGGTTGCAAGAGGTGATCTAGGAATGGAAATTCCAATCGAGAAGATCTTCCTAGCTCAGAAAGTGATGATATACAAATGCAACATCCAAGGAAAGCCAGTTGTAACTGCAACACAGATGTTGGAGTCCATGATAAAGTCCCCAAGGCCCACCCGTGCAGAAGCCACAGACGTAGCCAACGCCGTTCTCGACGGAACGGATTGTGTTATGCTTAGCGGTGAAACAGCGGCAGGAGCTTACCCAGAGCTCGCAGTTCGCACCATGGCCAAGATCTGCATTGAAGCTGAAAGCACAATCGACTATGCAGATGTTTTCAAGCGTATAATGGCAAACGCACCCGTTCCAATGAGCCCGTTGGAGAGTCTGGCTTCGTCAGCCGTTCGGACCGCCAACTCAGCAAAGGCGTCACTTATCTTGGTGCTCACCAGAGGAGGAAGCACCGCCAAGCTGGTGGCTAAGTACAGGCCTGGACTGCCGATTTTGTCTGTGGTGGTACCGGAAATCAAGACCGACTCTTTTGATTGGTCGTGCAGCGACGAGTCGCCAGCTAGGCACAGTCTTATATTCAGGGGTTTGGTGCCGATTCTGTGTGCAGGGTCCGCTAGGGCTTCTCACGAGGAGTCGACTGAGGAGGCACTGGAATTCGCTCTTCAACATGCTAAGACTAAAGGGCTGTGCAATGTTGGAGATGCTGTTGTGGCACTTCACCGTATTGGAACTGCATCCATAATCAAGATTGTGACCGTCAAGTAAAGAATCAAGGAGCATATTCTTGTTTGATTCTTCGTTATAATTTTTTGCCCTTTGGTGGACAAATTATCATGAACTCTTTTTTATTACTGCTTCGTGTTTTATGTTGTTGCGGGCGTTTTGACCTTTTGTGTCGTCCACCTTAATTGTTAGGCCTGTGAAGGACCGACCCCTTTTGATTCTAGTTTTGTGGCCATATAAAGATGGCAAATATCTATTGATACTCTGTATCTTTTGTTGTTGCCCTCGAAATAAGATTCTCTCTCCTTCTCTCTCTCTCTCTCATTGATTGTCAAGTATGTTTCACCATTACTGTGTTGTCTTGATATACAGCGAAGGTCCCCTAGCTAGTCCATCTCAGATGGCTGATGAATATATATAAAAAGTCAATACATCAAAACATCTCAAAAACAAAAAATAAAAAGAAAAAAGCCCACAGCAGTTCTTGCTTCAAACTATGACAATATCAAACAAACAGCTTGTCTGAATATACCCACATAGAGGGAGGGAGAAGGAAAAAAAGATTATAAAGAAAGAAAAAAGATAGCTCACTTATCTAGTAACACTGAAGTTTGGTATGAGGGGTACTACATAGTACATACTATTTACAAAACTCAAAAGTAATCACACATATATAGATATATACTCTACATAAAATAAAAGCACAACAAACTGATAGCAGAACTCACTCATGCAAACTCAATTCTCATCCTCGCGTGAAGTACTCGGTGTGGCATTAGCAGAATTTGAGGACGAACTTCGATTACTGGACCTTGAACTCGACGAAGAAAACAAACTACTAAAAGGCCATGGAAGAACCGAAAACTGTCTCGCACCACTCTCATTTCTCTCATCACCACTATTTTCACCACCACCGTTGTTATTACCATTAACAATATTATTACTCTCTGATTCTTGATTGTTAACAATATTATTAGAATCAATCTTCGACTCGTCACCAGGCAACTGATACCTACAAACGGGGCAAGAGCTATGAAGCTCAAGCCAAGGCAAAATGCACCCGTTGTGGAACTTATGCTTGCAAGGCATCTCCTTCACTTCATCACCAATTTCGCATTCATCCAAACAAACCGAACACTGCTGTGTCTCTGCCAATTTCACCATCGGCAAAGCTTCCACCGCCTCCTTTTGAGCTGGCGGCGAGCCGTACCTATTCGGGTCGTTTTCAGACAAGTGCTGCAGCAATAACTCCAAACCGGGACCAATGAAGTAGTCACCCAACGAGCCAAGTGGCTCGCGGCTTTGCGAGCCGTTATTGGGTTCGAACGAGCCCTGCACAATGATGGTCTGATTAACGGGGTTTATCAGAATCACACGCTCGGGATTACTTAATCTATCCCTACTCGGTTGATTCTGATTAGCTTCGGAATTGGCCGATTCGGATAGTATGCCAGCTCGTATGCCTTGGAGGAGCTGGAGAATTGTGGCGGAGCTTCTCCTCCTCCTCCTCATTATCGACTCCAGTTCCCGATCGAGCTCCGATTCTTCGTTGTCGTTTTCGAATTCGGCGGGGGGGTTTATTATCCTGCGGCGGCGGTGCGGGTGGTCCATCATGCCTAGCAAGATTGGGGCCCACAGGGAGAGGGAGCGGTCTTGGTCGGCCCCCCCGAGTTCGAAATCGAGGGTGGTGGCGTTGTTCTCCGGGGCGGCGGCTGACGACATTTCTTCGACGAAGCCGCTTTGGCAAATGGGGCATTTTATTGTGTCGATTCCCATGATTGGATTTACGGTTTGCGAGCACATGTGACACCAGTACTGTAATGGCTCTGCTTCCTCCATTGTTTGTTTTCCCACCTGTTCACAGCAAATGGCATTCTGTGTTAGAATTAGAGGCATTAAAAAAATGCAACGAAGATTTGTGTTTCAACCAATCAAATAAAATAAAAATCTAATTAATTATTAATCGAATTAATAAAATCACTAAACAAGAGAGTAATCTTCAGGTCAACGAGGAGAAATCTGTTAAGAACTTTACTCCCTATATTAACAAAAAGAAAAATTGCTAATAAAAGATCAACTATGTCAGTAAGGAAGAAAACTGACTAGAAATGCTGCCGATTAAAAATTCCAGAATTTGGCAATCCAAACAGAATGAACGGTTGTAGATTGTCCAGATTGAATTTTTATTTTTATCTTTATTTTTATTTTCAATAAGAAGAAAACAAAATTTAGGTATTCGTAGAAACAAACAGAAGCCATAAATAATTTTGGTCAATTTGTGTTCCCATTGGCCAAATAAACAAACATCTTCTGCTTCTAAAAAATAAAAAATAAAAATAACAAAAAAAATGTGAAATAACACAACACCATAGAAAATCAATCACGGGGCTCGAATTCATGATAGAGAAGCGGAATTTACAGTTTCTACCAGCAAACATCAATAAACACCACCATCGTCATCATCATCAATTCATCATCGTTTAAACGAGGAAGAAGAAAAGAAAAAAAAAAGTCAAAACGCGGAAACGAAAAAGGAAATTTGAAATGAATTACCAGGAGAAGAAGAAACGAACGATTGGGGTTTGTTTGTTGTTGATGATGATGATGAAGAAGTTGTTCTTCTTATTTGAAAATGTTTAAAAGAGGAGCTGAATTTTAGGGAGTTGCCTTTCTTCCTTCGTTTGTTGGTTTTTTATTTTTGATTTTGATTTTGATTTTTTTCTCTGACCTGTTCGGAATGTGTAGGACTATTTATCTACTTTGTACATGTGATGGGCCCCATCTCTTTCAACACCATTTCCTTTTTTTTTTTTTTTTTTTATTATTATTATTTATTATTTATTTATTGTTTTATATGTTAGTCTACTTGTAAATAATTCAAGGGAATTGCTTTTTGCGGTTTGAAAATTGCTATTTGCGGTTTATAACAAAATCCCCCAAAAAAACACTTTATTTCACTAAAACTCCAAAACTTTCCAAAAAAATCCACCCCCCCCCCCCCAACGCGTAAAAGCCCAACTTGGGCGGCCATTCATGCAGTGCACGCCCAAGTTGGGCGTACAAGCTGCATTTGGGAGCTCGAGTTGGGCGTCTAGTGCAAAAATTTTTTTTTTTTTTTTTTCGCAAAAAAAAAGCCCTACAAATCGATTTATAGGGCTTTTTAACATGAAATTGGTTCCGTAATCGACCTACCCAATGCATATTACACATAAAAGAGTCGAAATTCATAAAAAAATCGAAGGCCAACCCTTCTTCAAGCTTGATTTCGAATTTTCGATTTTTTTTTTCTTTTTTTTTGCTATTTGCAGTTTTGAGGGGTTTTGGATATTTTTAAAAGTTTTGGGGGGTTTTGTTATAAACCGAATAGCAATTTTGTGACCGCAAATAGCATTTCATTAATTTAATTACCATACCACCATTGACAATTCTAAGAAAAGTGAAGAAAATAGGGTGTGAAATTAGTAAATAATTATTGTAAATTAAAATTACTAAAAATTATAATACCAAACAAAGTCATATCTAATATTTATAAAATGTTGAATTAATTAGGTGGTGTTTGCAAATGTTTTTTGAAAGTGATTATGCGGTTTTTTTTGCTCATAATCTGTTTTTAGGTGTTTGCAAAATCAACTTTTGCTTTTGCTTCTCTTAAAATAATCTGCTTTAAGCTATTTTTTTAAAAGCACCCCTAACCCTGCTTTTTCAATTTTAGTTTATTTTCCGAAATATTTGCAAACACCCCCAACTTTTAGAAATAAGCACTTAAAACTAACTTAAATCACAATCACTAACTTTTGCTTTTAAATAATCATTTGCAAACACCACCTTAATATATTACAGATTAAAGTATTTCTAATTTTGTCCCGTAACTTTTCGGAAAAATAAGGATTTCAGAATTTATAATGAAAAAAATTCTGTGGAATTATGAATTTTCATTTTTTTTATTACCTATAATATAAAATAGATAATAATATCTATATGTAAGTGTAATTATCAGAAAAATGAGATTTTTAGAAATTAAAATCAGATCGAAAAATAGTATCTAATATGAAGTCCAATTCCGTTAAAAAAATAAAAATAAAAATCAGAAATTGGAACTTTTGAAATTCAAAATGAAAACACTTTTCCGAATTTCAAAATATTTGAATCGTAATAGGCAAAATTCAAAAAAAATATTCCAACTTTCACGCATTTGGTCTCTCATCGTTCACTATGAATAAATGGTAAAACATGTAAATGTTTTTAGATGAGATCAAAAATTCGAATTATGCTCTCGTTTTTTTTCAGTGTCCCGTAAATGCTCTAGATTTAGCAGTATACTCCATGATTTATAGTAAGGTAAAATACTAACTAGTAGCCCCAATACATTTTCAGGCCATGGATATACGTATGTACGGTTGAATATACCCACTAAACTTCACCCTGTTCTTACGATAACACAAACTACGAAACAGAAATCGGTCATAGTCAGAATTGTTGCTATTTACTATTCCTTCGAAACCTTTTCGACAGTATAGCAATCCTCTACACCAAACATGTAAAAGAAAGAAAGAAAACGAGATGTGTACGGATCCTCTCTCCACATTTTAGCAGCAAAAAGAATATAGTAAGGAATATAACTGTACAAGTGCTTTGCTATTATCTATATTAACTCTGCCTAGTCGAGTGAAAAAGAATAATACTCCGGACAAAAAACTAGGGGGAATGTACACCGCATGCAGCAAGAGGTTTAATCATTCATCGGTTCGAAAAATCTGGAGCTTCAGTCAGCATTCTCGTCCTGAATGTTAATCAATTTCGGCTAGCATTAGCACATAAACTGAAAAACTCTGAAACCAGCAGATTAAGAATCTTAAACAACATCAGTTTCATCTACGTGTAATATTAGTATGAATGCTCAATTGAAAATAACTTTTAATTTTTACCAACGAAAAAACAACTAATGTAAAAAAATCCAAGACCATTTTTTAGACATTCATATCTAAGAGCTTCGTTACAATACTCTGGCTAATGAAGTATCTCTGCTACAGGGCCGTTATGAACATCACAGAATATTATATTTAACATTATGCAGTTCATTTTATGTTGAAATGTCTGTCTCAGAAATGCAAAACAGTATTTCGATTTCGTAACTATTGAAAACAAGTGTTTAGACTATGTATGTATAGGAGCTTAATGAGAAAGCTGAAACTTACATCTTTTACATGAAAATATCTCCCCATGGATGGATTTAGCTGAGAAGTTTCAGCAGCTGAGTGAGAGTTTATTACAGAAATGTCGTGATTTTGCTTAACCTGCCATCAAAAAGAAGATTGTTTGATTCAGAACGTAAAACAGGAAAAGGTAGGAAGATTGAGAAAGCAATCTATCAGGATCCTGAATAGGATGGATAAATTGAAGTGTATCTAATCTCGTGCAAGGTTGGATCTTCTTCCAGTTTATTGGATGCCTGATCTTACTCATGGCTCCTTAAATTATCTGGTAGCTACCATGGTGAGATTTAACGGGCAGTGATAGCTATTATAGTAAAAGGAGGAGTATCTACGCAATGATTTCATAAATAATTAAGGTAAAACAAAAAACACTACCCTTTAGGTTTGGTATAATTACAGCAAACTTAACTAATTTTGTAAAACTGATACCCTCTTGACATTTGTTTTTATTTTGGAAATTATACCTACTAAGGATGGTTTTTTTTATAAAACCAAAATGAACCTAAATGGAGTACTTGTAATACCTCAAGGGGGTGGCGGTAATTTTGAAAGTTAGCTGGGTTTTTTTTTTTTGTAATCATACCAAACCTCGAGGTTAGTTTTTGGAACTCGTTCTAAATAATTATGTCGTTCCGACCATCTTTCCCTAATTCCATTACCACCTACCACCACAGCAAAAACAGGATTGACCATCACCTGTAGGCAACTGCTATCTCTATTGACTAAAGAAAGCATGCAATATTCATTCCATCTGGTGAATAGCTCAAAACATGTAATTCAGCCGATCAACCAATATCTGTTAACAATTCTTAGGCGTAATACAATGTAATATGCAATATATTTAACTTCAAACATATCACATATCAACTAAGATTATAAGGAGTAAAAAATGCTAATGGCACATTATGGACTGTGATGGTTAATAGCTGATGCCAGGCAGTTATATTTCTCTTTTTTTTTTTTCTTTTTTGGGGGTGGGGGGGTGGGGGGGGGGGGGGGGGTGAGGTGCTAAATGGGCAAAGTACTGACTTGGAAGCCAACAAGGAAAATGTTATGTACATTAATATGACGCCCAAAGACATATGATTCTGAAACATAGACTACCAAGAACAGCATTTACACGAACTGAATATTATATATGAAAAGGACATTTCATTGTTGGTCCTTCATGTTCAATTTCAGTCCCTCCAGTTCAGTCCTCATCGAAATTAGTCCCTAACAATTGAATTTTCAACAAATTCAGCAATCATCAACTTTATGTTAATTGCTAAAGGAGTTTCAAATGTGCAAGGGGCCAAAGGTGAAGTTCAAACTTCATTGATAGAAACTAAGAAAAGCTCAAACTTAAGGGACCAAAACTGTGATTTTAACAATATGCGCGTACTGCAAGTGGACATATCCATTAGTACTTAAACGGTTTTCAAACGGCTAGGATCGCCTTTACTGAAGGAAACATTGGAAACTGAACTTAACAAGGTGAACCATCTGAACTAGAATGAGTAAGTGCTATAGATGAGGACCCAAAAATATCAATGACGCCAAAATGAAATGTTTGGGTGTGAGAAAAATGGAAAAGTTAATACAGGAACTAGTCATACTTATGGGTCAATTAAGCTACAACTATTGAAGAAAAACTGGTGGAAAATCATTGAGGTTCGTTAGATTCATAGTGAAAATATTTACAATCATTATAAACTTAGCTGAATCCAGATAAAATGTTTTAACTGTCTTATTATCTGATAGTGCTGTAATTTATCGACAATATTAGGGAGTGGGTCGTCTACCTTCCACAGCCACCAAAGACTGCTCTCTACATCTCTTCCTACCCTTCTCCTCTCCACAGTCTCACCACTCAAATCATTACGTGGAAAAATCTTCCACCACTATTCATCCTAGACCTATTTCTTCCATGGCCCCCTAATGCCACCTTAGTTTCACTCACATGATGAGATTATGTTATATATTGGACTATTGGAGAAAAAGACAGCAACACAGTGAAGACTTATACCAGCATTATCTAAAAACAAAATTCCTATTCAATCCATTTTAGAGTTAAATAAATTCCTTAAGACCTAGCCAACTACATGATTATAGCAAACCATCTCCAGTTTTCTTATATGAAAGAGGTCTACATCTAATACAAGGTTAAGTATAACTGTCACATTTTCGGGACCCACAATATTGAACAATGAACAATTATAGATGATCTTCAGATTCTCAAGTTGGGTGTGTTCATGTGTGTACATATTTTTATCCGTTCCCGCTGGGAAGGTGGGGGTGAGAGGGATTGTGAGTTTCAAAATGTTTAAGACAGAGTGGCAGGAGCATACCCCATATGGAAAAGTTTCATTTCTGCCATCTTCAAAAAGAGACGAATAAGATGCAGGATCATATAAGGATCCTCCGGCAACCTCATCATATCCAGAGCGACGTTGAACGACAGGAGTGGTTGGATTGAGAAAACTGTTTCTCAAATCTACATCTGTATCTCGAGAAGCTGAGGCATCTATGTAAGCAACACCGAGTCTGTACATCTGTATCCATAACAACGATGATGATAACTTCACTGAAAATCCAATAATTTGCATGGTGAGTGTCAGCTTCACAGAATATCTAACAAGGACTCCATAGGACTCAGATGAAATGTGCCTGCATCAACAGATGTAAATTTGTAGCAGTTGAAAGACAATAATGAATAACAGAATAAGGTAGTGGCTGATATTACTAAATAATGGCATTCAAAAACATTCAATTCAAGTGAATGACAAACATTCAAGTGATCGTTCGGGTTTATGGAACTTTAGAACGTGTTGGTCCTTTTTGTATAGATAGGATTTTCCTTTCCTTTTTCCAAAATATTGTACTCAAGGGGTACTCGTCTCCCTGTTTCTATTCCAACAAGGTTTTTATCAAGTCCCACTTATTTCTAATGATATAAACAATTTCTTTGGCAAAAAAAAAGAAAAAGAAAAAAGTTAATAATAAACCTTTCTTGTGAAAGGAATGGTAGCCACATACAGAAAAACATTCCAAAGACTAAAGAATAAGTAAAAAAGTCACTGCCGTATATATCAATTATCATCGACAAACTTCAAACAACATGTGGGCATTATTAGTAGATATGATACTCTATTTCAGTCTTATATTGAGCTTCCTCATGTATCCAGCAAATACATCAAACTACGACTCAATCCTCGAGCCAAATTTTATCAGAAAGTTTAGAATTAGAGGTTTTTATTAGCTTGCTGAAATGAATCAGGGGTCACTTGGTATATTCTTACCGAGCTAGATTGAGTCCTAGATGCATGCTTTATGTATTCACTAACTCAGGGACACCAAAAAAATATGTTATTGCCAGTATTGGACTAGCCAGAAAGTTAGACACTCAGTTGGAAAAGAAAATATCCAGCATATTGAGTAACATTTTGGGTTCAAAAGTATGTGAATCTAACCAACAAGTAGCCTTCTCACGTAACTGAGTTTTCAGTTGGGATCAGTGGAAGTTTTCTGCAGGACCCAAATTATATTATTTCATAAGGAATAATGGGATTTGCAGAAAGCTAACCAGAACAAAGTAACCAATAAGGTTCAGGTTAGAGAGTCCAAGGACCCTTTTAGGGATACATTGACATCGCATAAATATAAATAATGATCCGAGCTAAGAATTAACTACATGAGGGTGTTTGGAGACAGTGAATACTAAGCCAATAATTGGAAAAAGGAGCAGAACTCTAGATAAAAAACTTGCATCGCACACAAACATTTACTATTAATTCCTTCACTTCTAGATAAAATGACATCTACGTATTAAGCGTCTCATTTGGCAATTAAATGCACAGTAATGGTGCTTCAAATGTTACCAAAGTACTTTTGACATTGGAGTAGAAGACAAATCTAATGGACATAATGATATCCGCACTACATTTTAATCCAAGTGCATTTAGTCAGTAAATATCCAACAACTCTTGTGGTGCAGTGGTACCTGACCTCACATCTTGTCGTAAGGCCAGAGGATTTCCAATTGTCCCCCCTCCCTCCTTCCTTCTCCCATTTGGATTCGATCTCCCCTCCCCGCTCCCAATCCCAAAAGAAGAAATAAAATACATCCACTAAATCTACTTGAGAAGCAGTTCAAAAAAATATATTCAAGCTTCTTTATAGGATACAACATCCAGTAAAAAATGTTATTATTGGTGATAAAATCCAATTTCCTCGGATTGTCGAAAGCAATATTTTGAGTTGTTCTTCTTACCTCCCAAAACACATATCCGTAATTCTAGTAGTACTCTTTCGGATGGTGTCACTAATGTAATGTTAGGCAATGGCATAGCGAAAAAAAATAAAAATAAAAATCCAATGTACCTTCTTCAATAGACAAAGGAAATAGTGTTGCATTTGCATCTAATTTCGTTATTAAACCCTAAATACATAGAGACAACTACTGATTGGGGGAAAATAGAGTAGTTAGTATGTGTACACACCAGTGCAATGGAGCAGTCAAATAAACACACACACACAAAAGAAAAGTAGAAGTACGCACAAACACATTATTACTGTAAAATTTTATGGTTGCGTAACAGAAATTGCAAAATTGGTGTAGAGAAGAAAGAGGCGGTACCATATTTCATGAGAGAAGAGGATGAACCAGAAAATGTCGAGGAAAATGGAGCAGAAGAGGAGTACGGCGTATGTCCGGGCGAGGCTCTGACTGCTGCTCTCAATGGCGACGAGCGCGAACAAGGAAATCCCCAAATTGACGAACAGAACACCGTTGTAAAGCGCACCTAGGGATCCAATCAATGCGCAGGCAATCTGAGCGTAGATCAGCCTCACGGCGAGCCACTGAAGGTTGTCGTAGTTGCGAATCCATGTCTCTACATCCGTCCACCGCAATCCGCCACATCCACCGCCGCCGCAGCGCATCTTATGGCAGGAAATTCAGCGACGATGCTTGCAGAAATTCTCCGATTCTGTTATTGTGTGTTGAGAAATTCAAAATGGATGAACGGAGGAAAAATCGAAAAAACAAATAACAACTAGACTCTGAGTTGAGACTGCAGTGGAGTGGGTCTACCAAAAATTATTATTTATATTCCGATTTTATTTTTTATATATATAATAGATACATACATATGTGTGTGTATATATATATATATATAGGCAGCGACTATTTGCAAGACGAAAATTACTTAGTGCAAGACCAAATTAATTTTTTTTATTAAATTCAGTATAAAAAGACTATAATAACCTTAATAAAATACAAACAAAATAAAAGTTATTTTATTAATTTCCTTTTGCAAGACCAGTTTAAAAAAGAAAAATTAATAAAAAAAGAAAGAAAAAAGAAATTGAATTGAGAATTGAAAAACGAGGAGGGAAGAAGGGAAGAAGAAAACAAGAAAATCAATTGCACCACTCAACCGTCGCCCCATTGCTCCGTCGCCGTCGCCCCGTCGCCGTTGAAGTGCACCACCTCCCCGTCGCCGTTGAAGTCCGTTGTTGCCCCAACCCCGCCACAACAATCTCACGAAAAACAAGGAAATTACTTTTTGAATTAATTTGTTTTGAGAAATAAATGTGATAAACATGATTTTATTGTTAGAATAATGAATTCAAGTCATTTTAGAACATAGTTAATGATTCTAGGGTTCGATTGTAGCACTATTGTTGAAGGAGTTGCGGTTTTACAAAAAACGACCTGTACTTGTCGATTTTTTGGAAATTTTTCGACATACTGGTGTCGATTTTTGAAAAATCGACACACCAGCGTCGAAAATTTCAATATAATTCGACACCAGAATGTCGAAAATTTCAATATAATTCGACACCAGAATGTCGAAAATTTCAATATAATTCGACAGTTAAGGAGTGTCGAATTATGTTGAAATTTTCGACACTACTGTGTCGATATTAAGCGGATATTTCGACCTGTACATGTCGAATTTTTTGTACGTGAAATGAGGTGCGAAAAACGAGAAAAACGATCACAAAGTACAATATTTATTACTTCTTTGTGTTCTTCGACCTTAGAATCCTCCATATTTATGTCTTGTGTATCCATAATGTCCTTCATTTCAAGTTTTAGTAAAGATTTGAGGGTTTTATGTGATAAGGATTTTGGAGAATATGGAAGATTTTTTGTGGAAAAAAATGTGTAAAATGAGAGTGAAGAAGAAGATGTTGGTAAAAATTTTTTGTATTTTTTTTTGGTCTTGCAATAGCAATTAGGTTAATTTAAATTAATAATATCTAAATTATTATTGGGGTTATATTTGTAATTTCCAGTCTTGATCTTAGTAAATTTATTTATATTTTGGTCTTGCATGAAGTAAGGTCTTGCACTTAGTAATTTTCGTCTTGCAAATATTCGTTGCCATATATATATATATTCTAAAGAACGGCCGATTTTGGTTGGTATACCAAAGCTTTTCTTTAATATTCGGTTTATTTAACTCACATGTATAACAATACAACAAGAAGTGGTTAAATTACTTTTTCGCCGTAAATTTATTTAGCTTATTTTCACTTTGAACCCTTCAAATGTAGGATTTTAACATTCGAAACGCAATAAATCATCCATAATACACTTTACATCGAATATTTGAAAAAAAAAAATTGTTTGAAGTTGAATAATTAAAATTTAACGAGGACAATTCATTTTTTATTAGATTTATTATTTCCAACGTGCAAAATAAAAAAATAAACTGTCATTTTGTTCTACCTCAACCTAATTTCCAGCGTTGCAGAGTGCGATAAAACAAAATCAAAATTCACACCAAATTACTGGAAAACAAAATTTATATTTTCTTACAAAGATTTATTAACACAAAATTATTCGATTGATGGATCTTTCATTTTAATCGGTGAAAATATTTGGTAGAAGTCTCTAAAAAAAATATAACTTTCAAATAAATTGATAACAAATAGCTTAATTTTTTTTATTTTTTTTTATATTTTTAAAATATGTTGATGATATATATTTTTATTTTTGCACTTTGTAATTTTGAAACGTTGATGAATATAAAAATTTTGATTTGACATTTGGCATCCTAAAAAAATACTACTAAAAATATTAAATTACCTTCATTAAGTTTGCAAACTTATTCGGAGTACATTATGCATGATTTACTGTGTTTTAAGGGTGTAAAGTGCTATTAACTTTTCAGAGGTGCAAAGCGCTAAAAGACTATATTTCAGAAGTGCAAAGTGTGATTAAGCAAAAAATATTTAAATTAGGGACAATTACAACCATCCATAAGGTATGGCCAAATACGAAAACCCCCTCCTGTTTGGGTAATTACTACCACCCTCAACTATTAATCTTCGTTCACATCCACCCTTGCGGTTTTAAATTTAGTAGAATCTTCTAGAGTATATGAAATATTCTCAATTTTGGACCCGTTTTATCATATTCTAGCTCCACATTTTGAAACTAGATGATTATAAAATGTGTTTATCGTATTGTGGTGCATCAGAAACTGTATTTTTGCACAAAACGAGTACAAACTAGATAACATTCCACGAAATCTAGATAATTATGTTGAATTTGACACCATAAGGGTGGACATGTAAGAAGATTCATAGTTGAGGGTAGATGTAATTATCCAAACAAGAGGGGTTTTTCATAATTTGACCATACCTAAGGGGGGCGGTTGTAATTTACCCAAATTAGTTAAATTATGAATTGGTAATGTATAAGGGTAGATTTGTAAATAGGGTTTCAATTATAGGGATTTCAGAAAGAAGAAAGAAGAAAGATCCATCGATTAATTAAGGAAATGGCAGAAGAAGGGGCGCCTCCGCCTCCACCGCCGCCGCCGCCGACGCCGTCGCCGTCGCAGACGCAGGCGTGGCGCAGTTACATATCGGAAGATCTTCCCCGCAGCGTCCAACAGTCGGCCGATTCCGCCATTCGCTCCGCCCGTTCACTCCAGGAATCATCTTCCACCCATCTCCGCTCGATTCAGGTGACTTTCGATTCACCACTATACCCTTCCAATTTTCCTTTCGTGTTTCAATTCTCTCGACTCAACAAAATCGGCGTTCGTTTTGCAGGATTTTGTTCCCCAAATCGGTACTCGATACAGATACTATGAAGACGCTTTCATCCACAAAGTTAAAGGTTCATAATATCTATTTCCTATAAATTTGTTGTTACTTTTGATATTATTCTGGAAATTGCCATTTGCATGAATAAGGATCATGCTTAGAAATGTTAATTTGTCTTTGAATATTTTTTGTCATTTTTGCTTTATCGGTCTTGTTAATTTGCTCGTCGTTTTCCATCATTTTACAGATGAGTTGATGACCTTAAAAGAACACCCAGCTCTAGCAGGTGGAGTTGCTGTTACTGCTTTCTTCCTCCTTATGCCTGGTATGCTTTCCGAATCTCTCCCACGCCTATTCCATCGATTTAAAAATTAGAAAAAATAGAAAAGAAGACGAGACTCTAACACATCGACTGAACAATTTCACCCGAGTACCAGCTAATTTGAGTCTTTGATAGTATGGATTATATATGAGTAGGACTTATTACGTGAGTTCTGTATGAGATGAAAATTGAGTCGTATTGCATTTAAATGGATTTTCCATCTTTCTGTTTGTTTGAAACTTGTTTTTCAATTTTGTACAGTCGTATATATATATATATATATATATATATATATATATATATATATATATCAACCTCGAAAGTTTGTAACTAACTGTAGTGTTTTCCCAAATGAGGTTATCTAAATTCATGTATACCATGACAAGTTTTGGTTCATCTGGCCGTTGAACTTGTGACACCAATCTACCCTATTCTTTCATAGGGTGGATTCCAAGTTACTTTGGATACTGTAAGCACCGTAGTGGGATATCATGATATTGTTATTTCATAGATCTAAGTCTTGTGAATCAGTTGAGTGAGGAAGTCTTCTGTCACAGTTCCTAAGTAGAAGTTTAGACTGAATACTATCGGACATCTTTTGCATCCTTAACTCTTATACATGATATGAAAAACAGATACCATATAATCAGCAGACCTAACAGCGTAAGAGAACTTTTAACAACTTTATGATTTTATTATGATTTTTTCCAGAAAATTAGTGATTTTGATCCTTGACTTCTGTGCAAAAATTGTGCTTTTGATATTTTCCTAAATCCTGCTTGATGTCTTAGCACTATGGGGGTTTTAGCCTGATCTTTCTTCTGCTAATTTTGACTCCTTTAAGTTAGTGATCAGTTCAAACTGTTCATCCAATTAACCAAATGCAGTGCACCATCGAGTTGTTATAAACTTGGGCTAGAGTTCTTCTATCCTCACTTACCAATTAGATAGAAGAAAAAAAGGAGAATGAATGAAAGATGGTTGAGGAAAGAAGATTGAGACGTTAGGCATGACATGTAGAGTAAATCAGTAGTCATTGTTGAGATTTGAGATAATATAGAGCTGCCTATGTTTTCCGGACAAATTGGTACACTTGTTTTTAGTTGACAACTTGTCAACTAAATAAAGGTCTACCAATTTGCCGTCCCTATTGGTTGAATACATTGCTTCTTTTACTGAAATATTTATGATTTATTTGGCATGTGGTTTATAGGTCCTAGAAGATTTTTGTTTCGTCAGACATTGGGTCGACTTCAGAGTGAGGAGGTATACCACTATCTCGATCATATTATTTCAAAATATGAGTATAGATGAATTAGAACTATATCACACTTTTGCATAAGCTCCGATGGCCTTAGTCTCTTCTTCATGTGTGGGAAAGTGTGTTTGCTGACAAGTATCTAGTAAATGGGCTGACTACACTTGCTCATTCTCGTTTTATGCAGGCACAATTTGTTAAAGCTGAAAACAATGTCAAAGAGTTGACCTTATCTGTTGACATAATGAAGAAGGAGAGCAAGAAACTGCTTGAACGATCTGTGCTTGCTGAAAAAGACATGAAACGTGGCCATTCGGACCTCATGTAGAATATAATTTGATGCACTTTGATGTATTTGTAGATTAATCTTCTTTATTCTTATACCTGATGTTTGAATTGATATGTAGGGGTGCTGGAACTGAGATTCAAAGCCTTGCAAGATCAGTTTATAAGACAGAAACTAAAGCTGCTGGTATTTTCATAACATTTTACTCTTTTCTATCCCGTCCTTCTTCCACATCGTTATTCATGTATTTATCTATTTATTTATTTCGGTTTGGGCTTCCTTTGATTTTCCCAGAATTTTTTATTATACCTTTCTCTTAAAAGTATTTTGTTGTGGTGGTGTTACATAATAAAGGATAGCTGTTTTTTTCAATCATCAAGCTTGTGACACTTACATAAACGTTGTTTTCGCAAATTGGGATTTTTTATTGACCCAAGTAAATATTACGGGAATGTTGTTTATCTACATAAAGGTTTATCTGTAAACGAACAAATTCAGTAACTTTGGTAATTGATAGAAATCTGCTTTGGATAACGATAAATTTGTATTGTGAAGGGGCAGATGAAATCCACGATAGGGATGGCAATAGGATAGGTTTAGTATTAAAGCAGCCAGTCTTGTATCGAGACTCTCAAGAGTAACTACAAGATAATAAAGCGTCTGGGAATTAAAATTGATATCCCATACGATAGGGCACCACCAATTCACCAAACGTTGACTTTTATGGTTCTTAGAAGGTTCTAGGCCTTCTTAGCAGTCTAATATCTCTATAACAGCTTAAACTATCTTCTCATCCTCTGTAAAAGGATAATAATGTGGAATGGTTTTGCGTGGCTCTTATAGCAAATAGAGTTGGGAGTCCCTAGATAAGATAATACTTTACTTTTGTTGTTCTTTTATTTTATTCTGTTATATGCTTTGCTTAGATTTGATGGATCTGCTCCGAGAAATTCCTGGTAGGGAGGCTTTGAAGCTACGAGCAGATGTAAGGCCTATAATTCTTTAAAATTCTTATTTCATGTTTCTCAATCAATTTTGTTCGCCGTTCTTACTCGCTGTCAAATCTTTTAACTTTTTTTTCCTTTTTTCTGTTAATATCTGATATTTGCAACAGGTTGCTTCAATGGCATCACATCTGCGGCAGCAAAGATCGGCGATGGATAGAAGAATCTTGAAGATTTCTGAATTAGGTGTTCCCGTGTAACAGTTTTGATCCAATTTCTCTAATAACAACCCATTGCTTCTAACACTTGGTGGCACCGGACGAAATTTTGGGCCACTTTGTTGCTTTTTTCATTCAGAAGAAGCATCTTATAAAGAACACGTACATATGTGCCCAATGACAATATGTTGAAGCTTGATTCTGCTTTACGATCTCATAGGTGGAATCCGTTGTAAGACTTTGAATGTGGTTTTGATTTTTTATATTATATTATATCCAGAGTTACCAAATTCGATTTGGAAGAGAAAACTGTGATTTTAATGAACAGGAAGGCACTACTATGCAGTAGTCGTGCTTTTTTTCTTTTTTTTCTTTTTCTGGAGGATTTTATTGCTGGTTGTCAATATCTACATATAGCAAAGCAGAATAAATGAGATACTTGAGCATGCATCTTCTTGTATGCATGTCCACTTGAGTAGCCTTGATGGATTTGATTTCGAACTAATTTATTGTAGCAGAATATAGTGGTCCATCTATATTCAAAAGAACGGTCGTATTTCTGAAACCCAGGATGGGAATTCTTGTCAATACAAGTTAAATAGATGAGTAGATGTCATGATGCAGCTATTGCAACCGAAATAGAGCAGAAACGGAGGCCTCTATGCCCACATATTTGGACTAAAATATTTCACAAATTTAAATTTTGAGATGAGGGTTTAACGTCGAGACAGTCTGATTATCTCACGACCATTGCAGGTAGAGAAATTGGACAAAAAAATAGTAAAACCAGCGAGCATCAATCCATTTTTTTCCTTGTTTTTTCGATATCTTACTAATTGATCATCATTCTACACGTACATTTGCGTTTGCATGCAACATAAGCATTCTCACAACAGCTACAACACCATATTCTATTTTTCTCAATCTCCAGAGGCAAAACAGATGTGCAAATAATACTTTGAGCATATATTTATTTATTTCCTCATCTGTGTGAAGAGTTCACTCGGGGGTCTTGCCGCTCCTGATCCGCCACCAAAGGCAGAGAATCCACCACCACTGCTCTGTTGATTGCCAAAACCTCCGAATCCGCCACCTTTAAATTATGCACAATATCATCAGTTAAAAAATAAAATAAAATTATATTGTACTGTGACTCACATAAATAGTTACTCAATCAAAAGGTGGTTATCCAACAACAAGACCCTAATGACGTAAATTCCCATTAGCAAAGAGCACTGTGACAACTAATTATTCTTCATCAAGTTCCATGTCTTAGACAAATTTTACTTTCTCAACATCACATATATTTAATACAAAACTTGGCATTAAATTATATTTATTCGCGTAGATATTTACCTGAAACGGCTCCAGCAGCAGCAAATCCACCCCCAGCAGTTGTTGCAGCGGCGAATCCACCCCCAGCAGTAGCTGCAGCACCAAATCCACCCCCAGCGGTTGCTGCAGCGGCGAATCCACCCCCAGCAGTTGCTGCAGCGGCGAATCCTCCCCCAGCAGAAGCAAAACCGCCGCCACCTGCTGCCAGACTAGCAAATCCACCACCCGGAGCAGCAGCGGCAGCATTAAATCCACCTCCAAAACCACCACTCGGAGCAGCAGCAGTATTATTAAATCCACCTCCAAATCCACCAGCTGAAACTCCCGTGAAACCACTGCCAAAGCCACTTGCAGGCGCAGCATTGTTTCCTGGTAAACCAGCCCCAATCTGTCTAGACTGTCCAAAACTACCAAGTACTGAGCCCAGTGCTTGTTGGCCCGCTCCTATGTTCGAAGGCTGCCCAAATACGGATCCAGCTGAAACTTGACCAGGGACTCCAGAACTAAATCCACCAGGGAAATTAACGGCACTTGTCGGTTGCAAGGATTCTGAGGATTGTGGTAATTGGAAGTTGAAAGACGCAGGTCGAAACAGCTCGCCACTGGAAGGAGATGTGGTATATGGGGAAGGAGCAAAAGTTGTATCTTTACTGAGGACTGAAACACCAAATGGATTTGATTTTGGAGTATTCGAATTTGGGGTGGAGCCAAGTCCAAACCCCCCAAGGTTCCCTAATGTAAATCCAGCTGTCGAATCTGTCTCGGGTGCTTCCTCTTCCATTTCCTCCTCGTGAGAAGAATCTGATATAACATTCTTCGCAATGCTAACATTTCCTTCACTCGATGGTGCAACTGGTGAATGGGATTCAGTTGCAGAAGTCAGTTCTGTCTGAACAACTGAAGAACTTTTTGATGAGCTACCAAAATCAAATCCACCGATGGATTTTGTGGTTGACAATCCAGAAAAAGCTGATGATGACAAAGTTGCAAGTTTCAAATCGGATGTAGAGTCCTGTAATTTAGTATTGTTTTCAGTTTTTGATGGTGTATTGACAACTGAAGTCTGTCTCTCGGAAATGCCATCTGTTTTAGTATCCTTTTCACGGCTTGATGAAGGCGGTGTAAAAGTAAAACTAGGGGTTGAAGGTACAGATGTACGAGGCTGCGATACCTCCAGTTTTGCAGCTGCACTGGCTCCAGAACTGACAGGAAACGCTGGTAATAAGGTTGATGAAATTGGTTTCGACACAAAAGATGATGAACTAAAAGCTGTTTGCAATGGGGCAGAGGCTGACCGACCATCATTAGGCTGACCTGGTTTTTCTGAACTTTCAGCGAATAAACCTTTCTCCGATACATTTGGACCTGAACTAAAAGCAGATGGAGGATCAACCGGAATTTTAAAGTCGAATCGTGGAGTCTCAGACACAGTCCGGGTATTCTTCTGATCCCAGGTTGCTGACTTGGTAAACACTGGACTCTGACTGGAATCAAAGGGTGATGTCAGTGATTGACCAGGCAACTGCTTGGTTATGGATGGTATCTTTGTATCAGACTGCTGTATGAATTTAGACTCGTTTGAGGCAAAAGAACTATTTCTTCCAGTAAAAGGTGAATTGCTCTTTGATTTTTCATCAATCAATTTGAAAGCACCTGTTTCAGTACTTTGAGCTACCCTCTTCTCGAATAAAGATGGTTGAGGCAGTGCAGAAATTGTTTTTGTAGATGACACTTGGACTCCATGATCTAGAAAACCACCTGTTCTTTGGTACGAAGACGTTAATGGGCTTGTATGGAATTGCTCAGAGGGTAGTTCAGCAGTTCCTGTGCAAGTTTAAAAAATACTCTCATGCTTGAGTTTATTTATATCAAAATATGAGTTCACCACATTATAATCAAGCTAAAATTGTATTAATACCTTTGCTACCATTCAACAAAGCTCTAGATATATTCAGAAGTGCTGAACGAGCAACTTCTGGTTTCTTCTGTGACTGAGGACTGAAATAATGTTTATCAATGTTTAATGATGACCGATCTGCACTGCCCTTCTCATGATCTTCTTTCAGCATCCTTTTCACAGTTGTTTTTGGAGGGTCAAAGCTAGCCCAACTCTGCAGTTACGAATGAAAAGTAACACATAATGAATCAATTCTTGAATAACACAATCTTCGAAGAAAGAGGGGTCAAACTCAAAGCAAACAACAATAGCACATAATGATTAATGATGCGGACACATCTAGAAGAGAGGGCCAAAAGGACAGCAAAAAAGAAATATTACATGATCCAGAGACTCCCTGCGTCGCCTTGCAGTTTCAGGTTCAACACTCTTGGCAAAGCTAGGTTGGTTTCTAGAACGTGTTTGAGCAGCAACGGAGCCTGAAGTAATCAAGTGCCCTTTGGTTGCAGGAGTATCAAAATCCCTATTCCGAGCTGGAGATTTTTTAGAGTCATCAGCGTACGAGAGCCCAATGGAATCAAAGAGCTGCTTTTTAATGTCCTGTTTTCCAGAAGATTCAATACTCAAAGCAGCCATCTGTTTCGAAAGACATCCAGAAAGTTGTTCAGCAGCTGCTAATTGTGCATGCATCGTGTTATGTAGGCTGTGCAAGGACTGTATCTGCCTGCAAGAGAGACTTTCATTTAAACTGGTCTAACAGGCATATTCATTCACAAATCTTGAGTAATTGACTCACAGTCATTTAACTGTGGAGGCATAATGATGGAAAACATTTGCAAAGTAAATAGCCGCAAGTAAGGTCAATGAGGATTGTAATCTGAAAAATAACCTACAGATATTAAAGGCAAAATCATAACGGTAGTAATTACCTTGAATGGCCCTGCCGATTCTGCAAAAGTTTCCGATTTCTTTGTGCTCCTTCATTCTCCCCAAACTTATTGAACTCCAAAGAATTGAAATGCCTCTCCAGTTCAATCAACTTATTGGTCAACTCCTAGATTTTTTTTCCAAGAAAGAAGAAACTGGTGTGATTCGGGAAAACAAAAGACTGACAAGCTGAACTAACAGCTGAGGCCAACTACAGTGTACCTGGTTTAATTCTAATATACGTCTTCGCTTCAGTTCCAGTTCAGAACTCAACTTTTGGCGATTCCAGAGTTCCCAATATCTGCTATCTGTTGCTTGCTTGAAGATCCCTTCCACATATACTTTCCTAACCAAAACTGAAATAGCATTGAAGAGCCTATTAACTTCAGAAAGGATAATACTGAAATAAATAAATAAATAATTTAGAAAGGATAATGACCATGTTACATGTTCAATAAATAAAAGAAACTAAAATTGCCAGGAGCAACATACACCAGTAAGTGTCAACAAGAGCAACATAGACAAAAAGTGCCTATCTCTTTTTCCCCCATCCTTCTCCAATCACCTTTTCTACCGTCTTTTCCCTTTCCCTCTCGACCATTACAGGAGGTCGTGGGAAGAAAGTTCTTTCTCCTACAGCTTTAAACCCCCTTCCCCCCACCCCACCCACACAGCCCACCCTCTGGGCACCTCAACCCTTACTAACAGTCACAGAGAATAAATGAGCATGATCCTTTAGTTTAAGAAACATCACCATCTGTCTCTTCCTTTCAGAAAATAGGCGACGGATTACATAAAAGTATATTTGCATTGTAAACTTAAGCAACTAGAATTAGGAACGGACCTTGTACCGTTTTATCAAGCAGAAGCTGAACTTCCCTTGATTGTTCGTTCACCAACCCCTACACAGTCAAGAGAAAATGAAGTATAAAATCAGTAGAAGTTGTTAAGATGCAGGAAAACATACTAGAAACTGTAATACTATATTAGCTGATATTGTTGAGTGGTAAGGTTATAAAAGGATCAGTCTGTTAGATTTTGGGTTCGATATCTCAATCACTGGTAGTAAGAGGAACAAATCAATGGATTGTTGTCAGTATATGATCTTCACTTAACCGGAAGACCTTTTGACACGCCCTCTGCTTAACCAAGAGTAACAATACTAGTTTTGATCAACTACTTCCCCTTCCTATGTTTCCAGATTTGAGATTCAGACGTCTTTCAGGTGATCATCATTATAGTGATAAGCTTTCTTTTTGGTTGTTTCTTGGGACGACAGTTCTAATGAGTTTGCATACTTTATGGCCCAAAAGATTTTCTTATTCCTCTATTCCTCTCGAGGGATGGAGGTTTCACACGCACACAGAGATGAAAATACACTAGAACAAAGACAGGAGTTGCCAACTTTTTTACTACCAAAAGTGCCATTCTTAGGAAATTATCAACCTAAAAGTAACCTGTTCATTTTGAAAAATCAAACAATAGTACGAAAAGTTTATATATGAAAACCTAAAAGAACGAGGGCTGTATGGAGAAGCAACGCAGCATGTTTGCCAAACAAAACTTAAGCAATTATCTGATATAAGGAAAATACACACGGAAGGAGAACAGACCTTCCATACTCTGCATCTGTCGGAAAGAGCCCATATGCCGTCCTCCAATTCTTTGACAGAGTTTGCTTGAGAAGTTATGGATGCTTCTCTGAAACCACCCTTTCCTACAATTCCTTCCAGAAGATTATCCAGCTTTTTGGCCATCTCTTCAACCTGAAGATGCATTAGAAAAGGGAAAAAAATGTTACAAGCCCCTTCACATTGCAGGCCTAACAGAAATCATCTACTTCAAATAACACTTCAATAACAAAGTTACTATTAAATAGGAATGCTTGCAAGACAAGAAATCACAATAAATTTTTACAAATAGATGAGACACCTAAAAGCGCCTGCTAGTCATTAGAATCCAGAGAAGGGTGAGAGTGTTTTGAGGAAGAGACCGTACTTCAAACAGAGAATAAGAGAATGAATATGTATATGACAGTAAGAATATAATAAGTATAAATATGCATGTTACATTTCCAAACTGCTTTGATGAATTTTGCACAGAGTACGGAAGCCCCGTTGGAGTGGAAGCTGCATTCAATTCCTTCTTAAATTCAGACATGAAAGATTTTCCTGAAACAACACTCTCCATCGGAGGCACTTGCAAACCAGGATATGCTGACAGTAAGTTTTTGTTCCCCTGTGAGGTCGACGTTGTCTGTCCAGAAGAGATAAAGGTGGTAGAAGGTCTAGCTTTCTCCTTTAGATCTGCAGGATCTCGAAGTGCAACTCGAGCATATTGTAGTGGAATTTTATCTGAATTGTCAACTTTACCAGAAAAGAGCGACAAAGACTTTCCATCGGAAGTTTTTGAAGCATCAACTCTTGCATTTGACCCGGCTGAAGACCACATGCTTGGTGAGCTTGCTGGTGGTGCTTTACCTAGTTGCTCCACATTGGAAGATGATAACAGAGGGTTGCTTCTTACTTGATTTGAAATATCCCCCACGACTTTTCCCGAGAATAAACCTGTACGTGCTGACTGATTCCCAGCATTTATATCTTGGTTTGGCACAGCCAAGAGGGCCTTTTCGGGCTCATCCCCTTTTACTGTCTGTGATTCTACAAGAGGTTTATGTCCCCAATTTCCAGTAGCAGTATGCCCCTGTGATCTCATGTCTACATGAAAAGGTGATAAGTTATTTGTGACTGTGGCCTTAGCGCCTGTTTTTTCGACCTCAACTTTTCCAGGTTCATGAGATTCAGATGCTGAAAATGTTGGATCTCTACTTTTCTCACCAACTGTAGAAGAAATCTGGGACAGCTCGTGCTTCACTGATACCTGAGAAGCATTCTCTTCCTCATCAGAAGCACAACCTTCAGGAGATTCTAAAGCACCTGTAGCACTATATGAAGGTAGATAAATTAGACATGCAGCTTCCCGAGAAACGTCACCCAGAACAGGTAGGTACCAAATCGAATAACAAATTAGAACAGTACACAATATGGTACAGAATTACCTAGCAAAATGAAAAACTGAAACCTTTCCATCAATGGTTAGGCATATAACTATACAACAAGGTGAGACTTCTGTTTCCTCATCACCCAGTGTGAATCTGACGTTCTCATTTTGGGAAACCTTGTCAACAGAGAGGCCCAAGATCACATTTTCATCACCATTCGCTGCGATCAAACAGTTTGAGATCAGAGAATTCAAGGAAGTGTTAAGATCTGCTCATCTTTAAATCAGAATGTATTTTTAATTTGCAGTCAATTAATATTCTTTGAATCAAAGCTTATTATCAGTACTTAGAAGCTTCATAATGCATTACCATTTTTTCAATCAAGAATCAAGAATTATAGTTTATTTGTTTTGTGGTGCATTAGTATTCTATGGTTTAAGGCTTCCTCACTCCTCTTCCCTCCCATATCCAATGTAATATTTTCGTTTTGTACAAATTGCACTTGCAATTTAGATGCTCAAAAATCTCAATACTATCGCCATATTATTATAAAATTATTTTACATAAATAAGCTCTCATTTAAAGATGGGATGGCTGATTTTCAGATGCATGAACAGAAGGGGGGTATACGGAAGCGGAAACTACAACCAAGTGAGAAACCATGCAGACATATGTCAAGAAAATACTCATTGATAATATTTAATCTTATTTCAAGTAGTAGAACCTTGAGAATCAATATGCAGAGACCACGCATCATTTAGAATTTCAACCGCTGCAGCTTCATTCCTCCCACTCTCCAAGGACCAATTGAGCAATCCAACTTGCTGGGAAAGATTCCTACTAGCAATAAATGACAGCCCACTGCAACCCAGATAAAAAGGCTACGATAAGTGAAACTTGTTAATATGTGACAGAGTAACAGATATTAACTGAACAGTGTATCATAACATTCTGATAGTGACTATAACTCAAGTCCTAATATTATCATCTCCCTCCCTCAGCTATAACAAGTTAATTTATCTGATGAACTAACAGATTTTAAGCTGTGTTCTTGGTCATCCAAATGGTGATTACAGGCATGCAGAAAAGTTCAATTCTTAAAAACCAGGATTAGTTGTGACAATTTTTAACAGCTTTATGTAAGCAAGTAATATTGCAAAAAATGACTTCCAGTAATTGTTAGAACAATATCCAAACAAATATTTGAAGGTAGAATAAAATAGACCCATATATATATATATATATATATATATATATATATATATATATATATATATATATATATATATATATATATATTAAAATGTCAAAAACACAGAATAAGTAGTAAAGAAGTTACAATAAGTTAAAAGAAATTAACAAAGTATACTTACTAAAGATTCAGATAACTGAGAAACAGATGTGGTCCATTTCTGGCAGGCACAGCATCAGAACAAAAATCAAAGAAGATACTACTAAAGGATAGCACAATCGGCTTTGAAGCTGCCTGAAAGTAATAAGAAAAGAAGTATTTAAATTCAGTAAGAAATAATTGTAGATTCTTAACTAGAAAAAGAACCCAGCCCCACTTAAAATCAAATAAATGATACAATTATCTTTAGTTCAATATACACATTAATCAAAGGACATGTATAAGGGTGAAGTGTGTTACTGGGAGCACTTAACAATTTGACAACTTATATTTTCTAGTTAATTATATGCCTAGTTAATTATAATGCTCAATCAAATCACTGTCAATCAGTATAGAACGCCTCATAAAATTTGCGGAGTTAAAACGTCAGATTTAATTAAAATTCTTCCTTGTGAGCTCAGTATTATCTTGTACTCGTTAATATTCATAATCTTTTTTAATTGTTGCAAGAGCATTCAACTCCTCCTATTAATAAAAGCAACTTACCAGGTATACGTATATTGTATCCTAAAACTTCACAACATCAAATGATGAGCCAGTAGCTATAACATTAAATTTTCTGCAAGATATGCACACTCAATTCACAAATTGAAGCATCCAATATCCGAGGGGGGGAATGGTTGGCAGAAACAACTTATCAAAAATTGCTCTCGCAAATTGGTCCAGCTTCGATACCTTTTATTTACTGTTTGCATTAGGAGATAAAAATAAGGTGTCATGCATTAACCAACTCATTTCAGTTTTAATAACTCATATTGCTGATTGCCTACGTACCATCCTATTATCATTTGCAATGAAGCATCAACAAAACAAATTGATTCTCAACATACAAGGAGACCCAAGTCCAGCTAGTGAAACTTGGAAGCTCGTGATTGCAGCATGGTTGGAGTGACAATATGCTCCAAGCATTAGCTCATCCGCATGAGTTTTGTGCCAGTAAGTAGTAACATCACCTTTTACATATTGAATTTGCAATCAAACATTTTTTTTGGCAGTCATCTTCCATACATATTAGGTCCATGATAAGGAAAATCCTAGGCAATGAGTTATAACATGCAAAAATTAGCGGTACAACGAAAATCTTAACAGTTGGATGATGATCATCATTTGATAGCTTAACTTTCTACACATAATAGCTGAAAATACCAATAACTACCAAGAGTTGGAAGAGATAGCTTAAGTTTCTATACATAATAGCTGAAAATACCAATAACTACCAAGAGTTGGAAGAGACGCAACTAGTATATCTACATCACCACAATAATATATGAGAAATGAAATGCAGCAAATGTAGTACAACGGAAAACGTTTAAGCAATTATGTATGAGCAAATGTACACAAAGCTAACAAGAATCTGAATACACTCACATCAGTAATACTTCTTCCCCTGCTTGTGATGACTTGGATTATGTAATTTTCCTCTTCCCCGTCGTCATTTAATTGGATGCACCCAACAGCTATACAATCTTGACGGATCCACCGGATGGAATCCACTGATATACACAAATTGGGAGTATAATAAATTAAACGAAAACATGGGATTAAATAAAGTGATGTATAATCAAATCTAATTTGAATCATAAAGGGCATTATGGTTAAGGTTTATGAAGTAAATGGTAAGAAAATATACATCATCATTTTCATAATTTTGAATTAACCTGATCACTAATATTTGCAAGGGTGAGAGCCTTCTTTTATCAACCAATTCGTTTTTTATTCAGTAAACAAAAGAGGAAAGTATTACAAGCAAAATATATAGAACCAACTCATGACACAATATTTTAACAAAAAGATCCTCAACTGATGAATTCAATCAGAACTACTAAACATGGGAAACAAGAATTCATTCATTCAGCACAAACAGCATATAGGACAGCCTAAGCGCATAAGCTTGCATGCTTAGCAGTGCCTCAAAAGACTGATCAGATATGGGGAGTATTAAATGCACCAGAAAATGGGAGGAAACCCACATGATTGTGCCAATCATAATTGTCAAGAGTCTATCCTTAGAACACCATGAAAATAGGTTCAATGCAAATAATATCAGTAAGGTATGTCACGTGCAGGAACAAAGATGATAAGAGGCGTGAAAACTTTATAGAGAGGGAGCAATACCTTTTATGACTTCGTTAACATCAGAATCCCCAATCACCGACTTGAATGACAGGGAAAATCTTAACTGTTCCTCGAACTGTGATGAAAAAATGCTGACATTGTTCTTTTTTGCCACAGCAACAAAATTGCCTTTAACACTCCAGTCAACTATGCCAATAAATGATCTTAGTGAGCAAAAGATATTTATACCAGGGCAAACGGCCAACATTTTAAGCAAATATTTTATATATGATTCATAACAACGAGATGCAGAAGGCAATGAGTCAACTAATTTTAATGGGCGAAAGTGGTTAAATCAACAAAATGAGACATTTTTCGTGGTGGAAAGCAGATCAACTGAAAAAATGAATGCAACTCTCTACAAAAACCTACAACCGATAATTTTGTGATATAAAAACTAAGAAAATACTTGAAATGGTCTTCTAGACTTCAGTACAAATTCATACAATGAATAAGTTTTATGAGGCCCATGGTAGTCATACTTATAAATTATAAAGATACCAAGCAGATAACAAAAAACTTAGAGCATACCAGAATCAACCTCTTCCATGACGCAAACAAGGGGACCTTGACCAGATCCATGGTATAACTTCCCGCTGGACGAAAGAATAACATAATCTTTTGCAAGTTTTCTGGCCCATCGCACATCCTTGATGCCAATGGAGTCATCAAGTGAGACTGAAAATGAAGGCTTTTGATCCTGTTCAATGACCATTTAACGAATTATAACTTCTCTACCAGAATTCTGACATCTACTCCCATAAGTAATTCAAAACAGCTTCATACATTTGCTGTAAATTATATTTGATCAAATATTTTTAATAAAAAGAAACAACGAATGGAATATACATCGATGTATTCTCAGATGGAATTTTTTTTATCTGTAAACATACATTTTTAAATTTACAAAGTAAAATAATGATTGGTTCCCCACCATCCGCGTCCCAATGTAGTTCGAACCCATGACCTAGTACCAAGTAGATCGTAGGTCTAAGGTGCTTACCAATAAGCTAAATAGCTTATTCAGTCTTTATGAGTTAGGTAACATGTTGTAAAGAAGTGAAAAATCTGTGAAAGAAAGGTCCGATAAATAATTGACACTTGTAATTAAGCAAATTTGATTACTTTTAACTAATAATTAAATAATATGTACAGTATGAATTGTCTAAAATAACTCCCCACTTTTTTAGTATCATTACGATATAATTTTACTCGTTACTACCTATTTGGGTACAAATGTTGGTTCCTACTACCTAGACGATCTACAAGTTCGTCTTCGTCATATTACCCTTAAAGTCTGAAGAGTAAATCTACCAAAATAGAGTTAGAATGGGTTTCCTAAATACTACTCTTATTTGATCATAATAGCTTCCAAGACCTCTAGATACGCAAGTGGTTCTGATGAAGACAGGAAAAAACTGAAGACTATAAAATTCGAAACACATCTTTCGATATCAAAACTGTAATGGTCGGTTTACCCATCAAGTATCAAGTTCCTTGTCCTATTATTGTGCTTCAATCAGCACTTAAGATCCAAACCGTAATATACGAGCGAAGAAAGGCCAAAGAGTATAAGAAACTTTTGCAGAGTGGCATATGAATCGACCCAAATTGCATTTTATGTTTCAACAGCATCATGAACAATAATTAATCAACAACCATCGAAACCTCATCACACAGAAAGCCAAACCTTATGGAGCAAAGCGCTAACGGCAAAGAAATGCACTTGGCTCGCGATGCCAACAGCAAGCAAGGAGTCATCAGACGACAAGGCCAATATCGAAACCTCTCCGATGGGAACATCCACGAAGCTCAACTCCTGTACAGACGGCCCCGTTTTCTTCTCTTTAATCTCCTCGGCAGATGCCATCACGTCCTTGGTCCTCACAACACAGAACCCTAAAACCCCGAGAAATTACAAACCAATCTGCAACAGCGAAAACCAATGGTTCTAGAGAGAGAAATACACAACGAATTGGAGTGCAGCGGAAGTTACCTTGGGAATGGGCGACGAATAGGAGGCGGAATCGCTCGGAGACGGCCAAGGGTTGCGAGGGAACGCATTGAGGATCGAATTCGGAGGTACCGTCGGATTTAATTGGTACGGACTCTCCGATTTTGGAGAACTGGTAGTTTTTGGTACCGACGTAATCTCCTTCAATTTCTTCATCCAAATCGACGATGGCAACGCCGTCGGTTGCCATTGTACCCGAGCACCGATATACTCCGGTTGGGGTAGAGAGTAGAGAGAGAATCCGATGAGGTTTTGACTGTTTTGCCCCTATTCACCGTGTTCGGGCGGGAAGGGTTTTTGGTTTTGGGGCTAACCTAACACAGTGCCGAAGGTTTATGAGACTGTAATTCACCGTCTTGTATTTTACTCTTTAAATTTTTAACCATATATATACATACTTCTCAGGGTATAATTAGTAAATTGGCAATTTACACACAAGTCCCTGGGATCAATTTTCTTACAGAGGTAAGGACACATATAATTTTCAATTTTCGATTGAAACCACCCAAACTACTTTTTTTTATTTGGGTTTAATTCTAGTAATTTTAGACTAATGTACATTTTTATAAGTAACTCGATATAGTTCAATTGATCTAGTCAAGACTCAAGTGATCTGATCGACTAATTTATTTTAGTTGACTTAAGTTAAGTTAACTATTTTATAACAGGTTAGTACGCTAAATTTAATAATTAATTAACATCAATCGAATTACAAGTTAATTGATTTAGCGGGCCATTTTGTTTTAATTTAATTACTAATGATCAACTAATTTGTCTTAATTTGTCTCACGTTCGTTTTCGTATTGTAACAACTTCCAGCGTGAACGAATAATTCAACCTAATAACGAAAATTTAAAGTTTGTAAGTATCGCCTAAAATCCATGGCAGCACTATGTGCGAACATGCATCGTCTTTCCTTCGTGGGATGGGGAACAGTTAAGCCGAGGTAATTTCTCAATCTATGAGTAATTCTGAAAACAAAATTATGTACTCACTCAAGCTCGCACTCGAACCATGTCGAGGATATAATTGGAGATCACATAACACAAGTCATAACAACAATATAACAATTCTGATGATAATCTACCGCCTAATGGACAAATGAGCTAAATTTTCAGATGCATTATAAACAAATCACAATCTTATATATTCATTTATCTCAGCCAAAAGCTGGAAGCATGTTGTTTGTGGTCGGTGATAACTAGAACTATCGGCTAAACAACTAGACATTTGAGAATTTTTTTATTTGCTCTACTCACTCGATTTGTAAGTGGCGTTAATTTTCGTGGCGAACCTAAATTTTGTATTTTTTTTTTCCATAACCTATGATGCATCTTCCACCTACTATTATATTGATTACATTTTGGACTACCTTTTTTCCCAAATTTTTAATATTGTTTTTCTTTATGTTATGATCTTTATGTATGTACGGGCCTCTATGTTTGATTGAATTATTTTTGGGCCATGACCCAAAAATAAATAGCTTGACACGTGCCTAACCCAACCGATGGACGTTGAAAACAAGAAAAAAAGCTAATGGACTTGATAGTGAATTAGCAATAATTGAAGGGCACCTGAACAAAAAAGCTGACAAGTCATTGACCTTTGAGGGAGTGCGGGCCAAACTTTCCCCAAAATTGGATAACGCAATTTTACGCAACTGACTTCTCCATTTTCTTTGCTTCCCCCCCTTCGTTTTTTTCTCCCCAAACCCTAATCAATCCGATTAAATTAAATTAAATTAAATTCACCGGCACCACCACCACCACCACCACCACCAGCACCGCCGCCACGCCTCATTTGATTCGCCGGTTTCCTTCAGTGGTTGGATTTCCACGGCCAATTTCCCTAATTTTAGATTGTACAGGTCGCCTTCTGACGCACAAGTGCAACAATTTGTATCCATAATTTTTTATTTGATTGAGCTGCGTTCGGAGAGAAATTGCTGGTTGTTGTTGTTTGTTACTTTCCACACACACTGCCATAGATGGAGGGCAATTCTGCAGGCGGCGGCGGCGGCGGAGGAGGAGGAGGAGGAGGGGGCAATGACGTGGAGTTGCTGTGCAAAACATTGCAGGTCGAGCACAAGCTGTTCTACTTCGATCTCAAGGAGAATCCTCGAGGGCGATACCTTAAGATATCGGAGAAGACTTCGGCGACGAGGTCCACCATTATTGTACCCTCGAACGGCATCTCCTGGTTCCTTGATCTCTTCAATTATTATGTCAGTTCCGACGAGCAAGATGTCTTTAGCAAAGAGCTCCAGCTGGATACCAAGGCATCCTTTGATATACTCACGCATTATAATCCTTCATTTTCCCAACCCACCTCTTTTCGTTTTATCATCTTACCCCCCTTGCTTTAAGTTTTCACTGATACTGCATGCAGGTTTTCTATTTCGATGTTGGCGAGAACAGAAGGGGGCGTTTTCTCAAAGTTAGTTTCTCTTTCTATCTCCCTAATCCTTATGTTATGAGAAATAATTGATTGTGCATTTGCGAAGGTGTGATTAGTAATTGCTTAATTGAATATTCTTCTGAACCTGTGGATTGAAAGTTCATGGATATCAGATTTTGTGATTTTTCACTACTTTCTCTATTTTCAACTAAAGTTGCTCCAAGAATAGTTTTTTTTTTCTTTTCTTTGTACTGCGAATTTGTAGAGTCGAACTCCAGTATTGCGAGAACGTACAGTTGTAGGAAATAACTTAAAATAGCATCAAAAGCTCTGGAAATTGAACCAGCCGACGACGAAGAGTTAAAGGGATAGATAAGTGAAAGACGCATTTGTTCATGTCAAAAAGTTCTTTTTCCTTTTTTTTTTTTTTTTTGGTTTTAGTGTGGTATTAATTAGTAAAACAAATGAAAATTGGGAAAGCATGGTTTACAATATGTTGGTGGTGGAACTTGTGAAAGAAGAGGCCATCGGTTTGTATAGTTAGAAAAGGGTGAAATTGTCTAATGTGCTGGTTCCTTCTTGCCATTTCGTACCATTAGTAGTATTTGACTAGTAAGTGGCAGCTTTAGGTAGTCATCAAGGATCGGTCTTTAAAGAAAAATGAAATCCCAGTTATGAAAAACTTTGGAACTCTATAGTTGGGATTCCTCTAATTTGTGCAGTTAATGAAATTCATATTTTCTTGCAGAATTTTTCTTTTCGTCAACATGTGATTTTCATCAAGAATAGGTTTTTTTGGGATTGATAATTGCTAATGTTTTTATGTTATTTTTTTATCTTTATTTTTTAGACATAAAGTGTGTGTATTAGTTATTCTAATTATCTTCATTTGCAGCTGCACTTCATTTAATTGTGTACATATTTATTCATTTCGCATGACACCTGCAGTTTCAAGTCCTTGAGATCTGTAATGGACCCAGATCACATTTAGTTCACTTGTTTTTGTAAATATATCTAAGCAGGGTACCTATGTTTCTCTTGTTATTTTTCCCTTTAAATGATTGAAGCTATTCTGGATGTTTATTTTGTTACTTTTCCCTTTGTTTCCCTCCTTTTAACATACTAGAGTAGTAATTATGAGTAGCTGAGAGCGAGAGCAGTTCTTATCAACTTAGGAGATGCATATTATACAATCTCATGATCGCATTTAGTGGTAAATTTAGTGTGTCGTGGTGTTTATTATTTCAAGTTCAGGAAAGATGATTTTTGGACTGTTCAACGGTTCTCTAACTGTTGGAATACTGTTTTTGTTTTGCACTGATTTGACTGCCATTTTTAGTTCATTCTCTTTACTATTTTCGTCATGTTCTTCTTGAATGAAGGGTTAAGCCCATTTACAAGAAATCTTAATTTGGTGACGCTTGTACTGGTAGTAAACAATTACTATCTAGTATCTATGTGCTGGAAGGAGAAGAAAAGTCAATTCGAATGTGCTTACAAAGAATTTTTCATTAAACTTAATTACATCTTGAAGCCTTTATTTTTGCTGATAGACTTGTGATTCCAGATATCTGAAGCTTCTGTCAGCCGAAACCGCAGTACTATTATTGTGCCAGCTGGAAGTACCGGAGATGAAGGGTGGGGTGCCTTTAGGAATATCTTGGCCGACATAAATGAAGCATCGGGGCTTTTCGTCCTCCCCAATCAGGTAATGATGAATCATTCTTTCTTTATATTTCACACCAAAAGCAAAACCTTCATTGTGTACTTCTTTTTTCGTGTAAGCATCAGCAGAACTCTGAAGCACCAGAACACCTTGTTGGGCTTTCAGATGATGTGGGCGCCGGTTTTATTTCCAGTCATAGTTCTCAACCTTCCCCAGCAGCTGACTTGAACGTTCACCGCTCTTCTGATCTGCCACCACCTGATGACATGGGTAATTTGGGCCTCTCGAAAGTGATAAGAGCTGATCAGAAGAAATTCTTCTTTGATCTTGGCAATAATAACAGAGGACATTTCTTGAGAATATCGGAGGTGTGTACTCGTAAACTGGGATATGACTCTCTCTATCCCTCCCCTCCCTAAAGCTTTTGATAATTTGCAGGTAACAGGCTCGGATCGATCCTCTATCATTCTCCCACTGTCAGGCCTGAAACAGTTCCATGAAATGGTGGGCCATTTTGTGGAGATTACTAAAGATCGAATCGAGGGGATGTCCGGTGCAAATGTTCGAACAGTGGACCCTCCCCAAAGGTGAATGTGGCTGTTAATTGTCTAAATTGTGATATGTGGCACCATCTATTTGTTGGTTGATCAGGGGGTGCAATCTGTGTGCTGCTTGCCGAGTGATTTGCTTTATTTATCTTTCGATTAAGTCTGAATAAAAATTCTTGTGTCTTTTTCTTCGATTGGGGATTGTTTATGAAAAATAATCAGTTTGATTCGATATAGAATGTTATATAAATAAATGAATAAACATCTTTTTCGTTTTATTTTCTTGTTTTTGGCCAAAAGAATGGCATCTGCATTAGGTCTCTTCTTCACATAGATTGGAAGTGTGTTTTGTGATTGTATAATAAACTGGTTATTGCGATTTGGTAACGATTGGAAGTTGACTCAGTTGAGTGTATACGTGATCTTAAATGTTTGGTAGTTCTAAATAACTTTTTGGCATGGTTTTTATCACTGAATATTTGCATCTTTTATGTTTTTACCCTTCGCAAATACAAACTCGATTGTTTCCGGAAGATATCGTTTCAATAGATCTTGGCATCTTGCACCTTGGTAAAACTATGACCTAGTTTGGCCACGTTTAGGAAGTACCCAAATGGGTTCAACTTTAGGGTATTAAATTGCAGAACCCTCATCGTTTGCTTCCGCTTGATAGTGTTGATTTCTTTTGTGAATGACGATTTATTTATTTGTTCATACACGGTGTTGAGTTAACAACAACACGATATGTCTTTGTTCATAAACTATGTATATATGTTCATATAATTTGTCTTTGTTCTACACATTTTAGAAATATTAAAGAACAATCATACGATTGGAACAACTTGTAAAAATTACACACTGCTATGTAAATGCGTTCATTACCGGTAAAATATATGAACACTCTAACCCTAGAAAAGAAGTATTGAAAAACATATCCCTAACAACAAAATAAATTGTCGAATCACAATACTTCGTTGTACAATTCCTCAAAATCATGTAAATTTGTTGAATCACAATATCCCATTCCTCAAAATCATGTAAATTTGTTGAATCACAATATCCCAGTGTACAACTCCAACAATGAAAGAACAAATTTTACTGTAATGTTAGGTTTAAATTTGGGGTAACATTAATTTTCAATAACTATGCAATTTGTTACGAACAAGAAATCGAACCGTCAAAATATGGTGCATAACGGCTCTACAGGAGTTTGTCGAAACTGCTCATGCTTCTCCTCTTTCTCCTTCCTTAGTAATCCGGTCTTTTCTCGTCTCCGATTTCTCTTGCGAGAATTCAGAACGTTGCGACTTACACTGATATGAAATATAAAGTTGTTGTCCGAAAACTCATAAAACATGTTTTTCGAAAAACGTGCTTTGGTGAAATAAATAATATTGAAAAAATGTTTAGGAGAAATAAATACATAAATATTATTGAGTTTAGGTTGAACACGTCTGTATGAGCAGTAGCGATTTTTTATGTGGAAAATAAATGTAGTTGTAATAATAATATAAAGTGAGGAGTATTTCAGATATTATGTTGTGGTGCACTATAGACCTGACTACGGTTCGGTTCCGATTTTGGAGGGACGGGAACCGAACCGAAAAAATCCGGTTCCTTGCGGTTTGGTTCCTAACCAGTTCCCGGTTAGGACTAGTAGAACCGTCGGTTCTTAATATTTTTTTATTATATATATATATATATATATATATATATATATATATATATATATATATATATATATATATAACTTAAAAAATAATTTAGAAAACTTGAAAAAAAACTTTTGAATAAAATTGATACTACCATATAAAAAAAAATTATTTCTTCATTTATTAATAGAAATTATTACATAAATAAAGTTCTAATTAATCAAAAAATAGAGCGAGGGAGATAAAAAACTCCCCAACAAATAAAATGAATAAAATAAAAAATTACTAATTAACTAAAGCATCGCCATCATATATTAATTAAAATATTAGCTTCTTCTTCTTCAACCTTCCTTCCATTAATGGTACGGCGCCGGCATTGGCAGACCACTGACAATACCGCAGAGCTGCTGCGTGGGGAAAATGTTGTACTCATCCCTCAACGAATTCTCCGGCGAGAGAACGCTGAAGTAAAACTGCTGCCCCAAATAAGTCCTCTCCAACATATCCGATCTCAGATTCCACATTCCGGCGTTATCTAGGGTTGTCATCACGGCGGCCCACGAATTAGGGTACACCTGGATCGTGTGCCTGCTGACTGCGTCAAGCAAATTGTAGTTCTTCCTCTTCTCCGGCGCCCACCTCCCTGGCTCGACGGCGACGGCGAAGAATGAGTACCCGTCGAGGTGCCACGTTTGGATGGTCTTCTCGCGGTTCTCGAAGATGATCTCGACGAAGTTCCTGAAGGTCGCGTTCACCACACTCGGCGCGAGCGCGAGTTTGTTATCGCCCTCTGTTGGCTCGTCCTTCATCAAATTGTAGGTGAAAACCTTGTCGCCGAGGCCGAAGTACTCCGCCAGCTTCAACGGTGTTTCGGTGTTCACGTGGGAGATTCCGTTGATTCCGAATCGGAGCTTGCCGTCAACGACTGCGTGCGAGTTGGCGATTTTGATTGTGCGTGTGATGTTGATTTTGCCGTAGTGGTACGATCCCTGAGGGTTAGGGCGGGCCGCGCTGGCGGTGAGATTCCACCTGAACGATCGGAATTGGTTCATCGACCACGCAATTCCGGCCCTGTTTTCGGCCGGAGGAGGCGGGATCGACAGCGAGGCAGCTCCGTTGCCGTTTTTGTATCTAATCACGGCCACGGTCGACATCACCTTCTTCGAGAATCTGCTCGAAACAACCAGGTAGTAATCCTTGGGAGCCTGATCGGCGGTTACAAGCACCGACAAACATTGTCCGACGTGCAGATCAAGCGAATCGTATACATTTTGCACGGTGTGCGAACCTTCCAATTCAACCAGCTTCATCGTGTGGCCCTGGAATCTGAAATTCACCGAAAGCTTCATCCCGACGTTGCAGACTCTGTACCTGTACGTCTTGCCTGGCTCCATGACTGCGAGTGGCTGAGCCGCCGCATCGCCGACGCTGCTCGACTTTCCGTTGATCTGGATCCCGTCAGGCTTGCCAATAGATCGGCCGGAATCGAGAATTCTCTTTAGAGTTTTGTGTCCCTTGTTGTACCAATCGCCGAGAAGAACGGCGAATTCGTCAGCAGGCATATCGAACGGGACAGGAATTAGTTCACGGCTGTGCACCTTAAGCATGCCCATTCCACCGGAGGCTCGTTGAAGACCGGTGGTCGGGAAGTAAATGTAACTTCCGATTTGGTCCTTGACCTGGAATTTATACGTGTAGTTTGTTCCGGGGAGAATAGGACACATTGTGCCGGGTGTACCGTCCTGCCACGAGTTTTTCCTCTGCTGAATACCGGCCCACGTTAAGAGCAACGGCTCGTCGAGGTAGTTGAATACGTTGACGACGATGTTGTTGTTGGATGTGCAATTGATTACGGGGCCCGGGAATTCGCCGTTGATTAAGATACCTTGTTGAGGTACGCCGAGCGGCGCGATGGTGCCGTAGGTCACTTTCCAGTCGAAGAAGAGGTAGGGATCCTCCGCTAATGCACCGGCTAACATGCAGACGAACAATGCCGCCGCGAAGAGGCTCTTGTGGGACCCCATAATATTGGATGAAGAAGAAGATTTTTTTTTTTTTAATATATTTTTTTTAATTTTTTTGGGGGTATGTTAGGGAATATGTTTTATTTGGTAGTTGCCGAGAAGAAGAAGAAAACAAGAGAGAATGTTTCTTCTTCTGGCAAGAGATGCTTTATTGTGTTGTGGGTGTTTTTATTTGAGGGTGTGTGAATGGGTTTTTATAGTGTCAATGTTTGAATGTTTGTTTGGTTCTCCATTTCTTTCGTTTTTATTTCATTTTGTTTTACCTTTTTTATGCCATTCATTCCCCGGAAATGCCTCTTTATCTCTCATATTATTATTTTTATTTTATGAAATAAGTATTTATAATAATTATATTTAGTGGCATTATTACAATTTACACGTTAGATTAAGTTAATGAGTTTATTGCAAATACTACCCCTGTGTTATCTCGAATTGTCAAATACCCCCCCTGTGAAAAAAAAACTCACCAACACCCCCTTGTGTTAACATTTTCGAAGCACACTGCACCCTTTATAATTTTAGGCTTTGACCGAAGGTAAAGTGACAAAAATGCCCTTGTGATTTTTTCAGCAATTAATAAAATATATTATAATTTTATAAATATTATGTAGTTTTTTATTTTGTAAATACTAAAAATAAAAAATATATTTAAACGAGAATGAAATATATATTATAACATTAAAAGTTTTAATATGTTTTCTATTTTTTTTAGTTTTACATTATATATTAAATAAAGAAAAGAAAAGAAAAAACAAAAAAAAAAAAGCGTTCTTCTTCCCCACCCTCCCACCCAACTCTCCGCACTCATCCACCATATCTCCACCGGGTTGCCGCTTCGGCTCCGCCACAGCTCACCACCATCTGACCTCTCCTTCACCAACACCACCATCTTCTCTAGATCCGCCGCCCACCCATAAATTTTAATTTATTGAAATTTTAGTTTTCACCAACAAATTACTTTACACGAGCCTCAAACCTTCCCCCAATCTCTTATTTTGACGGCGGTGGTGGCGATAAGAAAGAGAAAGAGAAGAGAAAAGAACCAAAAAACGCAATTTTGACCTAGCAAGTTTAGCCGTTGTTAAAATCGTCGCCGTCGAGAGAAA